TCTCTACGGGCAATGTAAGTCTATGGGCAAGGTTAGCCTATGTGCAAGGTTAGTCTATGGGCAATGTTAGTCTATGGGCAATGTTAGTCTATGGGTAATGTTAGTCTATGGGCAATGTTAGTCTATGGGCAAGGTTAGTCTATGGGCAATGTTAGTCTATGGGCAAGGTTAGTCTCTGGGCAATGCTAGTCTATGGGCAAGGTTAGCCTATGGGCAAGGTTAGTCTATGGGCAATGTTAGTCTATGGGCAATGTAAGTCTATGGGCAATGTTAGTCTGTGGGCAAGGTTAGCCTATGGGCAAGGTTAGTCTATGGGCAAGGTTAGCCTTTGGACAATGTTATTCTAGGGCAATGTTAGTCTATGGGCAAGGTTAGCCTATGGGCAATGTTAGTCTATGGGCAAGGTTAGCCTATGGGCAATGTTAGTCTATCGGCAATGTTAGTCTACGGGCAATGTAAGTCTATGGGCAATGTTAGTCTATGGGCAATGTTAGTCTATGGGCAATGATAGTCTATGGCCAATTTTAGTCTATGGTTAATGTTAGTCTATGGGCAATGTTAGTCTATGGGCAATGTTAGTCTAAGGGCAATGTTTTTCTACGGGGCAAGGTTAGTCTAGTTGCAATGCTAGTCTATGGGCAATGTTAGTCTACGGGCAATGTTAGTCTACGGGCAATGATAGTTAACGGGCAATGTTAGTCTACGGGCAGTGTAAGTTTATGGGCTAGGTTAGCCTATGGGCAAGGTTAGTCTATGGGCAATGTTAGTCTATGGGCAATGTTATTCTATGGGCAATGTTAGTCTACGGGCAATGTTAGTCTACGGGCAATGTTAGTCTACGGGCAATGTTAATCTGCGGGCAAGGTTATTCTACGGGCAATGTTAGTCTACGGGCAATGTTAGTCTACAGGCAATGTTATCTCTACGGGCAATGTAAGTCTATGGGCAAGGTTAGCCTATGTGCAAGGTTAGTCTATGGGCAATGTTAGTCTATGGGTAATGTTAGTCTATGGGCAATGTTAGTCTATGGGCAAGGTTAGTCTATGGGCAATGTTAGTCTATGGGCAAGGTTAGTCTCTGGGCAATGCTAGTCTATGGGCAAGGTTAGCCTATGGGCAAGGTTAGTCTATGGGCAATGTTAGTCTATGGGCAATGTAAGTCTATGGGCCAATGTTAGTCTGTGGCAAGGTTAGCCTATGGGCAAGGTTAGTCTATGGGCAAGGTTAGCCTTTGGGCAATGTTATTCTAGGGCAATGTTAGTCTATGGGCAAGGTTTAGCCTATGGGCAATGTTAGTCTATGGGCAAGGTTAGCCTATGGGCAATGTTAGTCTATCGGCAATGTTAGTCTACGGGCAATGTAAGTCTATGGGCAATGTTAGTCTATGGGCAATGTTAGTCTATGGGCAATGATAGTCTATGGCCAATTTTAGTCTATGGTTAATGTTAGTCTATGGGCAATGTTAGTCTATGGGCAATGTTAGTCTAAGGGCAATGTTTTTCTATGGGGCAAGGTTAGTCTATGGGCAATGCTAGTCTATGGGCAATGTTAGTCTACGGGCAATGTTAGTCTACGGGCAATGTTAATCTATGGGCAATGTTAGTCTACGGGCAATGATAGTTAACGGGCAATGTTAGTCTACGGGCAGTGTAAGTTTATGGGCTAGGTTAGCCTATGGGCAAGGTTAGTCTATGGGCAATGTTAGTCTATGGGCAATGTTAATTTATGGGTAATGTTAGTCTATGGGCAATGTTAGTCTATGGGCAAGGTTAGTCTATGGGCAATGTTAGTCTATGGGCAAGGTTAGTCTCTGGGCAATGTTAGTCTATGGGCAATGTTAGTCTATGGGCAAGGTTAGTCTATGGGCAAGGTTATCCTACGGGCAAGGTTAGTCTACGGGCAATGTTAGTCTTTGGGCAATGTTAGTCTATGAACAATGTTAGTATATGGCAGTGATTCTTAACATTTACCGTGGCCTGCATCCCCCTGTGGTTCTTGGAAAGGGCATCTGGAACCTCCAGGGGGTGCGCGCCCCAGGTTAAGAACCACTTGCTCCAGATAATTCACAACATGATGAGTAGCTAGGCATACTGGACGACGACCGCAAAGCCACGAGATCATTCTGGTGGGATGTATTTCGTTACTTGGACCAGGAGGGAATGAAATTGACACCGGACTGAGCACGATTCGGGAGTCCAAAGAGCGGCCAGGTTAGGATTAGGGCCAAGGTTAAACCTTCGACAAATATTGAAACGTCTGCGCTGGGCTCTCTGGGAACGCCAGTCTATCAGCAGCGGCGCGAGTTCGAGCCGAGGCCTTTCCGGTGGCTTTACCCGCCACACTCTCGACAAAAAACAACGTTGACACGATATTACGATCGATTTTACCTTTGATTTAAAGCTTTCGTGACTGCAGGAATTCATTTTCTTTGGATCTTTCGGTAAAAAAAAAATATTCTACGTGGCTTTACCGAAAGACTCAAAGAATAGGTTCTACCCTTTATGGCAATAAAACAGGCGGGGTTGAGATGTTAAAACACCTAACAAGATCCTTTATCAAGGAATCCTGTCTTCATTAACCACACGTACTTGTGATGAATATGCAAACGCCAAACATGCTCTGATAATATACGGCATTGTCTTTGAAACTGGTGGTCTACACCAGAGACAGCTTTCTTTAGCGCAGGGGTGGAGAACATTTTTTCTGCCATGGGCCATTTGGATATTTATAACATCATTCGCGGGCCATACAAAATTATCAACTAAAAAATTAGCCTGTTATATTTGGTCAAACATTTAATTACTCACCCCTAATGCGTGGCTGGAACTGTTTCTCTTTGGCGAGGCGTGTGATGATGTTAGCTGGTGTTGACGATGTTGCTACTCGCAACTGCTTTCCCAGGTTTGCTCCTTGATTTATTGAATTTCGAGTCCCGCCTGCAGTTGCCTTGACAGGGCCAAACCAAATGATTTCGTGGCCCTCGTACGGCCCGCTGGCCGGACGTTACCCACCCCTGACTTAGAGCCTCGTCTCAAACAGTGTTAGACCAGAGGACGCCAAAAGGCTGTCTCTGGTGTGGACCAATCAGTTTCAAAGACGATGCATTATATCATTATCAGAGCATGTTTTTTTGTTTGCATGTTCAGCACAAGTACCGTGTGTGGTCAATGCAGACGGGATTCCTCAAAAATATGATTCTGTTTGGTGTTTTAACATTTAAACACCCCCTGATTTATTTCCAGAAAGGGTAAAACCTATTGTTATATTTTGATAGTGGCACGGAGGGTCCCAACGTGAACACGCCTCTCGTAAAATGAGTGTAAAGGCACAATAATCTTCTAACGTGCAGAGGATAACTACTTATTTACAACAGTCTCGAGTTCGTCAACTCGTGCACAATTTGGTTGGAGATTAAAATCGCTAAGAGATGATTTACGTTGGTACTAAAATCACGACGTGATGCCAGATATTGCCTGGCGGACGATGTGATTATAACGGGCCTTACATATCGTACGATATGTATATCGTAACATCGGGACAACCCTACCTCTCACTATCAAGTATCACCTATCAAGGTGATACAGGTGATACAGGTGATACAGCAATCACCTTGATACAGCAATATTGCTGTAAACGGTTTCCACCTGAAGACAGAAGCTTGTTGTTGCCTCCGAAACGTCGTGATTTAATTTAGTTTTCATTTTTTTTATTTTACCTACGTGATTTTACCGAAAAAACCAAAGAGTATGAATCCTTTACTGTCACGAAAGCTTCAAATCTAAAAATACTATACATAATAGTCTACATGTTAAACCAATAATAATACGTACAATAATTAGTTATTTAGCCAGGAAACCCACAATAAGCCCTTCGACATCGATGGTTTGTTATATTTTAAAAGACGTTTTCAGCCAATGAATGAGTTACTCATACACGTGGAAGGAAAATAAGCCCCACACCTTGCGCGAGGGAGCAACGCTCTATCCCCGTACAGATAATAATACAAATGATAATTCCATTCATATAGAGACTTTTCATCAAAGCGCTGTACAGGACACAGCAGCAGCAGACAATCAGCATAAACATAATATTATAAGTACATTGAAAGAATTAATTTACTATATGAACTCAACGTTTAATAATAAGCGGAAGCATATACATAGGTGCGAAGACGCATTTCTTGTTTTTTAAATGTCCACAGAGTCTAGAGAGGTGCCTGATTTATCGTGGATGAGTGTTCCATAGCCTGGCTGCTACACGGTGAGAAATCTCAGTCACTCATAGACCCGAAACCTCGATCTGGGAATGCAGGGAAGATCAACATCCCCAGAGGCTTCCCGTCGACGCCCACGGGAGGGGAGTTTCACACGACATCTTTGTGTGATCCACCAACCCTAGCTGCGCTGGATTGCAGGCAGCCACTTGCGGAGACACCGCCACGGCCAGTCTCATTAGCAGTGGTTGATGATGATGATGAATGAGTAATGATGAAGATCAATTGATGATGATGCCAAACAATGGATTTTAATAATTATGAATTAAAAATTTGCAAGAATTGATGATGATGCCAAACAATGGATTGTAATAATTATGAATGAATAATGATGAATCATGATGATGAACAATTGATGATGATGGTGCCAAACAATGGATTGCAATAATTATGAATAAATAATGATGATGGTTCCCAACAATGTGTTTTAATAATAGTGAACAATAGTGAACAATAGACGATGGCGGTGATGATGTTCAACAACGGATGAGGATTATGAGCAATGGATAACGATTGCGTGCAATCTATGATGATGAACAATAGACGCGATTGATGATCAATATACAATGGGCGGCGATGAACAATGTAAGGGTGATAACGAGTACTGAATGGCTGAATGATTACAATGATCAACGATTGATGATGAACTTTCGAAAAATTACGAACAAAGTTCAACAATAACGGACAATTTATCGTGCCTCTGATGACGATTATCATTCCCAACTCACCTGCGCAAAGGCGAGCATCAGCAGTGCCCTGCCGTACCCCATCGTGATGGCGTTTGCTGGCGACGTCTTCCACCGCTGATGGGAGAATCTTTAAGAGACTTCACTCAAAGTCCGAGTCCCCCTTGGCCATTCACCCAAACTCAGCACGTTCACTCGACAATTACAACCGACCGAAACCTCAACAACGGCACGATGATGATTCGTAGTAGAGCTTGCTTCTTCCAATGCAGTCAGCCGCTGGTTGCTCGTGGGGGTGACGGACGTCTGTGGTGTTGCCCTCCCAGTGTGCCTTGTGTGTGGTTAGTCGGCGCACACAACGCGCACGGCTATGCGAAATGCCTAGGATAGACGATACGGGTTGATTATATATGGCTGCAGCAGACACACACACACAGACGTGATCACACACGCACGCACACCCACCCACCTACTCATTCACGACATTTACAGGTTGGCACCTCCCACTTCTCCCGCCTCCTCCTACTCCTAATCTGCTTTTTATTTTCTGTCTGCGCTATCTCTCCCTCCTCTCAAACTCCAATAGGTGAAGGGGTCGTGAAGAGGAGAAGGCGGAAGCAACGAATTACTGGGGCCAAAATATATTCGCAGATTATGGATTCCTCATCAGCAGAAGCAGCAGCAGCCATGATCAGTCCACTGCTGGATGAAGGCACCCCCTCCCCCCAAGCCGTCGCGATCGCTCAGCGCGCTGCGTTGTTTAACGATCCACCCAGCACCTGTGTGCCCCAACGAGACAACCTGTGACAAAGAGCTTCATGGCTCATCGGATTCTCCTGCAGTCTAAATATTCTGAGTCGATTTTCGTCGCTCCGTCCCCAACCCCCCCCCCCCCTCTCCTTTGGCTGTCACTCCGTTGTTAGTCTCGACCACGGCGACAGCAATAATAATAATTCTACGACTGGAACGACAAACTCCATCGTGCAAGCCATCACAAGGCCTTCCAGCCACGACGTGTCTTGCCCAAGTATGTATTATACTTTAACTCGCCTCTTGCCCGTCCAAGGACGGGTGTATTGCAGTAAATCTGAAACGTGCAAGCGGAAAGCAGATCGCGACGTGATATATGTCATTGGATCAATGCGCGTGCAATTTGTAAGGGCGCGGTGACACAGACCTATTTCATTTAAAGGTTATAATCCATTGTTCATCACGACGTCCTTTTTACTTTGATGTCTCAACAACAGCGTTACGGAGATCACGTGACGTGATGACGTGAGGGTTCTGCCTTTGTAGTGAGGGTTGTCAGTTGACGCCGAGGAGGGGGGAGGCGGCGCCTCGCCCCCCACCCCCCCATGTGGAGTGACGTCAGTCGCTAATTATTATTAATGGGGGGGGGGGTGTCCATTTGGAAGACTTCACCTGTTCTTGATTATTAATGGGGGGGGGGTGGGGGGGTCCATTTGATGGACCCCACCTGTTAATAATTATTAATGACGGGGGCTTGTCGACGTGGAGTGACGTCATGCGCGTTACACTCTTACATTCTTGGCTCATCATTGTAGCCAATAACAGCCTGATGCCTTCCTATCACCTGCGAACGTTCTGTAGAGTCCACGTGTTCCTCTCCCTGTCTGTAATTCCGGGCACGCGTCTCTCCGTGCTTCCTCATCTTACTTGTCTTTATTGTAAAAAAAAATAAGAATCATAATTTCCATTTAGATGATTTTGATGATTGTTGCGTTCCCAGGGACCGGTTCATCACTTTACCGCTGATGTCACCCGTTTGCCGAGAATCCAAATATCACTGTCCTGGTCACAAAAGCAAAGTTTGTGGGGAATAATAATTATCCCAGGCAGAGGCATCCCGAGGGTGCTTGGCGAATCGGGGCGTTGGGGACCCACAGTGAGGTGTGCCCCGGGTCGCGCACGCCCCAACAGAGGAGGGCCCTGGTCCTAATGTTACACAACCTCTCTCGTATGTTCGTTTCAGCTGTGCACCGCCAACAGTGATCGTGACTCGCCCTGGGGTGGATTGTGGACTTCGTGAAGGCGCCCCGCCCCTACATCCTTTCTGACCCCACCCACACCTACTGACCCTACACACACCTACTGACCACGCCCACACCTACTGACCCCACACACACCTACTGACCACGCCCACACCTACTGACCATGCCCACACCTACTCACCCCACACACACCTACTGACCACGCCCACATCTATTGACCCCACACACCTACTGACCCACACACACCTACTAACCACGCCCACAACTACTGACCCCACACGCCCCTACTGACCACGCCCACATCTACTGACCCTACACACACCTACTGACCACGCCCACACCTACTCACCCCACACACACCTACTGACCACGCCCACACCTACTAACCCTATACACACCTACTGACCACGCCCACACATCTACTGACCCCACACACACCTACTGACCCCACCCACACCTACTGACCCTACACACACCTACTGACCACGCCCACACCTACTCACCCCACACACACCTACTGACCACGCCCACACCTACTAACCTATACACACCTACTGACCACGCCCACAACATCTACTTGACCCCACACACACCTACTGACCACACCCACACCTACTGACCCTACACACAGCTACTGACCACGCCCACACCTACTCATCCCACACACACCTACTGACCACGCCCACACCCTTACTGACCCTATACACACCTACTGACCACGCCTACACTTACTGACCCCACACACACCTACTGACCACGCCCACACCTACTCACCCCACACACCTACTAACCACGCCCACATCTACTGACCTCACACACACCTACTTCCCACGCTCACACCTACTGACCCCACACACACCTACTGACCACGCCCACACCTACTAACCACGCCCACAACTACTGACCCCACACGTACCTACTGACCACGCCCACACCTACTCACCCCACACACACCTACTAACCACGCCCACACCTACTGACCCCACACACCTACTGACCACGTCCACATCTACTAACCACGCCCACAACTACTCACCCCACACACACCTACTAACCACGCCCACATCTACTGACCCCACACACACCTACTGACCCCACACACCTACTGACCACGCCCACATCTACTGACCACGCCCACACCTACTCACCCCACACAAATCTACTAACCACACCCACACCTACTGACCCCACACACCTACTGACCACGCCCACATCTACTAACCACGCCCACAACTACTCACCCCACACACACCTACTAACCACGCCCACATCTACTGACCCCACACACACCTGCTTCCCACGCCCACACCGACTGACCCTACCCACACCTACTGACCACGTTCACCACTCCCACTGCTGGGCACGTGCTCCCCACCCCCGCACTACACGAACTAGCCAAAACACGTGAATGGAGGAAGAGGGCAGGGCCTATACAGGAAGGGGTTGGGGACTAATTAGCTAGGGGGCGGGGCCTAAATAGGAAGGGTCGGGGTCTAAAAAAGGAAGGAAGCAGGGCCTACAGAAGTTGAACTTCCTGTTTATTCAAGATAATACAAATACAGGAGAATCAAATACGTGCAGTGGACAGCAGCGTGGCTTTAGTGCCACAGATGGGGCCACAGACCAACGACTCAAATTCGTTGAATTATTGTTATATTGTATTAACTTTTGTGTGTGCAGAATGTTATATTGATATTCCACAGACTCGCCCATATAACGTGCAGAGTGCACGCCGAGGTGTCCACTATCTTGTACGTGCGAACCCTGCGATGAAAAATTATCGTGGAAAGCAACGGCGGCCCACGCGCCGAGAGAGGAGAGTTTTCAATCAGCGACCGTGACCCTTTATGGTCATGGCACTGAAATCCGCCACTCAATCTTACTCAACCTCCGAGACCTGACGGTGCATTCAGAGTGTGTTTGGCCAGAGGCATGACCATCATGAACACTGTAAAATCCCTAACTCCACGGGAGTATCACATCATCGCATCATCTCCACTCTATGGCAAGTGAATGCCATCCTATGGCCTGGGTATCCCCCGAGGTAGACTCAGCCTTGAAAATGGTTACGGTAATCGGTGCCTTGCATCAACGTCGCCTGCTACTCAACCACCCGAATAGGACCCGATCCTGCAAGCTAAGTAAGCTTGGTGCCTGGATAGTGTTTGCAAGAGTGACCACCACCATGCGTCGTAACATGTTGTTAAGGGGTGCTCTGGCGCTACGTTGTGGGCAGTAGAGGGAAGCGCAGCAAAAAAAACACATTGTTGGGCTGTACTTCTATGCTCCCTCCGCCTATGCTTCTCCAATTCACCGGACCGTACCTGACCAGCGTGGTGAAGTGCAGTCAAGCAATGCACTCGCAAGCGCGTGTTCGAGGCCCTCGTCCAGCAGTGGATTATTAATAACCTGCTGGAGCTTTAAACACGTGGAACACCATCTTCGACAACGTCCTCGGCTTCTCTCCTGTCGATGCAGAAGGGCCATTGGCCGAGACGCCACCTGTGATGTGTTTAACCTGAGGCCACGCGCAGCGTTCATGACAAATGCTTTTGAGTTTGGGGGGGGGGGGTTCGTTATTTGTGCTTGGGCTCCACAGTCAACACAGAGAGTCAAGCACCGCCGCCGGATGGTTTGGTTTTGAGTACAGCGTCATTTGTAGATAACGCCACGACTGTTGAAGTTGTAATAACGTCACGTCTGTTGACATACGAGTGCAAGAATTAACAATAATAATTTCCGCATTATCTATCCAGAAGGGCCACGCTGAGTTTCATTTCACGTGTGGGGAGGAAACCGGAGCACCGGGAGAAACCCCACGCCTTGAACGAGGGGGCAACGCTCTATCCCCCGTGCAGATGGAAACAGAGATGGGAGTCCGCATTTGCTGTCCCGCATTCTCCTGGCGAGAGAGGGGCACGACACCTCGTCGACGCCCAGGGGAAGGGGAGATTCACGTCCATCTGTGCGTGATCCACCAACCCCTCGCCGCTGCCTCCACAGCGCAGGATTACAGGCGCGCGTAGAATTCACCCGCCCACCCACTGTTTGCCGTTTCTGCACATTCAATTGACTCTGAATGGTTTAAACAAAACAAAAAAAAACAGATATCCGTCCGCCAACTTTTGTGATCACCGATTCCGGTCTTCAGTTCCTTCAAACGCCGAGCACGTGGTCACCTCCAAAACCTCACCAGGCACCTTGTAGGGGACCGAGCCTTCGAGTTGCAGTGACTCAAAGATGATGCCGATCAGATGTACTCATGTCTGATGTGGCTGTTGTTCACAATCGCATCCCCGCAAAAAATGTTTCTTTTATTTAAACGTTGTTACTGTTGGGTGAAACGCTTTTGATGGTTTCTTTTCTGTAAGGTGGTTGGCTGCTTTTGTTTTTTTGCCCTGCTCTCTATTTGCTTCGTTTCTTACTTTATTTGATGATTTTACATTTTGTTACTTCAGTGCACCCAGGGCAACTCTTACAAATGACACAGACACTCAAATGTATTCATGTACGTGCAATTAAGACATTACGTATTATTATTATTTTGAGGCCAAAGTGTAAATTGACGAATATGTTGAGTTCGTTTAACACGTAGGCTTTCGCGACCAATATTATTCATAATAAAGGTTTTTGGGTTAGATCGCGTTATTTATAAATGTGTCGTAACCCTCCACCACCCGACACGGCCAATCAGCAAAAAAAAGTGTCACGTTGACAAAAGACAAATAGTTCACTACTTTAGCCCACCGGTGTGTTGAAGAGTGAATCCACAACATTTACAGTTTGAGTACGACGTTTCGCTGGTAATTACATCCAGCATCATCGGGCATACATTAATATATTCTGGCGAATTGCCCGATGATGCTGGATGTAATTACCAGCGAAACGTCACAGTACTCAAACTGTAAATGTTGTGGATTCACTCTTCAACACAGCGGTGAGGGGCTAAAGTAGTGAACTATTTGTCTTTTGTCAACGTGACACTTTTTTTTTGCTGATTGGCCGTGTCGGGTGGTGGAGGGTTACGACACATTTATAAATAAACGCGATCTAACCCAAAAACCTTTATTATAAATAATATTGAGTTCGTTGATGTTGACAATGCTTGCGCACCACTGCCACCGCACCGGGAGAATCACCACCACCATCATCATCATCAATAACAACACCAACAGCAATTCTTACAAAACGAGACTCTCGCCGATCTTCAGATCTCTCGCCCCATCAAAACACAACGAGCGTGACACTTGTGCAAGATAAAAAAAACCACGCAAGCAAAACTCCACGTGGGGCGAGCGTCCCACGCACGTGTCCGCTCCTCGATCGCCACGAGGGCTTCAAGACGCCACACCCTCGCCACGAGACGGCGAGCCGCAGACAACCGCCCTTCATCGGCGTGAACCCTTCGTGATGTCTCAACGAGTTATCGTCGCCGCTGCTTTTTGAGGTTATCACGTTGAGTCGTTTGGTCGAGGGCCGCCGTATACATTAACATGACAATTACAAACACCCCCCCCCCCCGCCGCATAGCCTTCAAGAGACTGTAGGGGCCAATTGATATTTAAGGCCGGCACGGCACGCCTTTGTCTCACAATGCTGACGTTCACACACCGCATCTGGTACTCATTTGAGGCTGAGTCGACCCTGGGGAGGCCCGGTTCAGATATTCGTCACCGGTGTTTGGCTGCGAGCGGGGATGGGGAATCGAGTCACCGGGCGTACAGCACAGCGGCGCTAACCACTGCACCACCGCTCCAAACAATACAAAATCACACATATTGTACGTACATATTCGGAGAGATAAAGATTCCCCCTATAGCCTTGATAGGTCATTGGGGCAAGTGCTGATAGTTAAAGGCGCAGCCCTTGCAATTGCCTGCTCACGCCACTGCTGGCGGAAAGGAAACTTCCACTTGAGGCCGCTCTTGAGAGGAGAGTCGTTGGCCTACTCTTCCAACACCTCGGATGTGGTGGGAGTACCCACACTTTACCCCACCACGCGCGACCTGTTGCCTTAGCGAGCTCCACGCCCGGCCGTCTTTGTATCCCCAGCGCTGCTGATGTACAAACATACCGCAGCATGCTGACGAGCGAGCGAGGTGTCCGATCACGATTGTCACTCGCCACTGATGTTAGCCGTCGCTAAGATCACTACGTACACAACGTCGCGGGGAAGGCGTGAGCGACAGCGTGATTCTTTAACACAAAGATCCCCCGTATAGCCTTAAACAGACTGTTGGGGCAAGTGCTGTTAGCGAGCACCTATGAAAGCTGGAACGGTACACAAGAGGCTGGGTGGCCAATACCACGCCTGGCCGCCTTTGTCTCCCCAGTGGTGCTGTTTCTACACTGCACCAGTTACTCATTTGAGGCTGAGTCGCCGTAAGGGAGGCTCAGGGCCGGTTCAGATAATCGTCACCGGTGTTGACCGCGGGCGGGAATCGAACTCGGGTCGCCGGGTTCATAGCTACACCACGGTGATTCGTTAACACATGCACACACAGAGACAAAGACCCCCCCCCACAACCCGTGTAGCCTGCATACGCCGTTGGGGCAAGTGCTGTTAGCGAGCACCTACCTATACAGAAAGACCTGGGGCATTGTTGGACAGCACCACGCCGACCCGCCTTTATCTTCCCAGTAACACGATGTTTGCACACTGGCACCCAGGTACTGATGTCAGGCTGAGGTCAGTCCAAGTACATGATTAGTTAGCACGTGCCACAAGCCTGAAAGCGGTCTATTGTCCGAAACGTTAGTTTACCGTATGCAGTGTTATTTTATTGTGTATTTGTAATGGCGACTGATATTTTGCACCACTCACTCATCCACCAGCTCAATTAACCACGAAACACATTCGTCACCCACTCATACATAAACCCACCGGTTTACTAAGTTCCCACTCACACAACTCACTCATGTCACCTAAGCAGCCACCTAAACACTCATGACACACACAGTCTCTCACCTACCCACTGAATCACTCACCAATTCATTCACAATCTCGACAACCACCCACCCAAAGCACCCATTCACCTACCCATCAATTCAATCACCCAACAACTCACTCTCATGCTCCCTCACTCATTCTCCTCCCGACCCACTCACACACCTACAAACCCACTCACTCAGTCACCCACCAACCCACTCACTCATTCACCCACCCACCTATATTAATTCAACCACCCAACCACTCATTTCTCCGGCTCTCTCACTCGTTCACCATACCCCCCCACCGCCCTTCTATCACAACCCCTTCTGGGGCAACAATCTAGGTCCTAGCGACAATAAACGAAAAAAAACACCTTCAACACGGCCGACGACAGATCTTAATCTGCGAACGAGGCGCGCTGAGTGGAACACACGTTCTGATGACGGCGCCTCTCCTGAGAGGCTCCGGCCAATGGCAGGCCTTCTCGCGCTGTGACCTCACAATCTATAGGACCCCCCCTCCCCGTCCCTTACAGCCACCGCTTTACACGCGGGGCACAGATAACCGTGCCCTGTCTTATCTTCCACCTTTATGTGCTTAATGGGAGCAGTGTCACGGAACGCCGCGGGGTGGGGGGGGCTATAAAGATGCAATGTGCATGGGTAAATTGTCCTTTTTTTTAAAAAAAAGACGCATTGTTAAATCGTAAGATGAGATATATATGTGAGCAGACAATGCAACACGGCACAACGCCTCCTGTTGAAGGATTTTATTCCTATTTGTGTCCCGCCGCGTATTAAATTGTTTTATTTTACGCCTTTGCACATCCCATCGACGACAATCGCCGCCTTCTTTCTGGCTGGGGTTCCACTTTCAGCGGCGATTGGTTCAGCGCGGGCAAAAGTCCGCACCCATTTCGACGCGCAGTGTCTCATCAGCAGTCTCCAGGCTCTGTTTGCACCAATGCTGCTCAATTTCTCCCAGGTGTGCTTAGGCAAGGCGTCTCATCAGGAGCGCAAGTCAAGCTTTGCTTGAAGCAATATTGGACAGCTGCCGGATGATTATAGGCAAGGGTCCCTCCCTGTTAGACATTGGTTCGAGAGGAGAACTCAGCTGATGCATTTTCGTCTACTTGCCACTGCGCAAACGGTTCGGTTACGTGAAGCTTTTTCGGTCACCGAGAGCGCTGTAACGTTTACGGGCGGACGATAGTTCTGAGAAGTATGCCACGTGGTCGAATATCAGTCGTAGCTATGCGCACGTGTACGCGAGCGTGGCGCATACGTACATACGTATACATATACGTGCAAATTCTTTGGTGATGCTGCCGAGTTGGCAGTGGTGCACAAACACAAACAAACAACAACAAACAAACTAACAACTCAACACATTCGTCAATAACACCGCGGCCTTAAAATTGATATGCATACGTTACATGATAGGCGACGTTTCGGACAATGGACCTTGCTCATGGTACATTTTAGAAATAAAAGAAATTCGGAGCAAATTTGTTGTTGTATGCTATGGAGAAGGGACATTGCTCGAAACGTCGTCTATTATATATTTTTCATATAAGTGTTACACTCATTTAAGGCTGAATCCTGCTGATGAGACACTAAATGTCGAAATCTGTGTGGACTTTTGCCTCTGTTGTCGGCCACCACCACCAACACCACCAACACCACCAGTGGCGATTATCTGAACCCGTCCCGGGCCTCCCCTAGGTCGACTCAGCCTCAAATGAGTACCTGGTGCGATGTGTAAAAACATCGGCAGGAGGAAGAAAAAGGCGGTCGGGCGAGGTATCGGCCACCCACCCTTTCGTGTGCCGTGCCGGCCTTCATAGGTGGTTGTTGCGAACAGCACTTGCCCCAACAGCCTGTTAAGGTGATACGGGGCCATGTCTCTGTCTTTGGTAACGTGTATACATTTGTATCTCTAAGTACATGCATGTGGCATGATATGTACTTCTTTGTTTGCTATTCTCCAATATTTTGACAACCTTATTGCATATATATCCTCAATGATCGATAACATGTTAAAACATTACTTTAAAAATGTTGCCAACGATTGATGAGATGGTGAATAAGTTGGTGAAATATGTGGGCTCGCGTGGATTATTATCCGGGTCCTCTCCGCGTTAAGATACACGCGTTGAGAGTATTTGGCTCCTGCTTATAAATTTCCACGCGGTAAAGAGCAAATCGTCGAGCTGACACTTGTGATCAGGTCGCTTCCGAAAAAGAGCAAGATAGCCGTGTGGGCCTTACCTGGGGAAATACAAAAAACGATTTGCTTAGTTTTAAAGTGAAAAATCACTCAGCAATCAAAACTTTTTTTTTTACACAAAATAATAAATCAGACGTCACAACAAATATCATGCCATGCCGTGCGCGTCTCTGTCTCGGTGTGCATATATCATGCGCCGTGTCGGCCGTCAAGGATGCTGGTTAAAAGCGCTTGTCCCAAAGAGTCTGTTAAAAGGCCATACGGAGGATCTTTGTCTTTGTGTGCATATGTTGATAAGAATGTGTGTACTTAATACAGCCTCTCGCAAAGCTACACTTTCCCCAACAGCCTGTGGTAGGCTACGGGGGATATCTTTGTCTTTGCGTGTACAAAAAAAACACACAAGCCCCTGTGTCAACAAACGTGTCCGATTCAAGGAGTTGAGTCATCCAAAGCACGCTTGGGTCTGTAATTGAACCGGGCGCAGTCTTCTCTCTCTCTCTCTCGCTGGGATCTTTGCTCAACTCACACGCGAAGTCTTTGGCAGGGGTCGAAACTGTCGCGGAAGTCGTTTCCCAGACTGCTCTCCGTGTTATCCGACGCCAGAATGTCGTCTTTTCTGAGCATCAATCGCCTGCCGGACGAGAGGGACGCACAGGAGACACCCACGGGGTTGTCGGGATTGTAAGAAGGGATTATTTTTTTGCTGCTGCTGCTGTTGTTGTTGTTGTTTCACGATTCACTCAACAACCAAAACTTTTTTCCACCGATTCATTGACAGCATTCGCTTGTCCGCAGGATGCATCGCACTGGCTGGAATCTGGCCGGGCACGTGCTCGGCGTGTTGGAGTGCGAAATTCTCGGCAGGTAACTCAGACCCCCCCCAATTCTCACTGTTGTGCGTGTGTGTGTGTCTGTGTGTGTCTGTGCGTGTCTGTGTGTGTGTGGTGTGGAGCGGTAGTGTAGCGGTTAGCGCTACGCTGCGCTACTAACCTGGCAAAACCCGGGTTTGATTCCCGCTCACGGCCAACACCGGTGACGATTGTCTGAACCGGTCCTGGGCCTCCTCTAGGTCGACTGAGCCTAAAATATGTACCTGGTGCGGTGTGTAAACGTCGCCGCTGGGGAGACGAAGGCGGCCGGGCGTGGTGCTGGCCACCCACCTCCTCGTGTGGCGGCGCCGTCATTCATAGATTCTCGCTAACAGCACTTGCCCCAACGAGTCTGTTGCAGGCTATACGGGGGATCTTTGTCTTTGCACGCCCGTGATGATGTAAACTGCTCACCGTGATCCAAGCACGACGAGGCAGACGAGGACGAGGGCTCCAGTCAACCCCGCGACTGAGTAGATCGCGTAATTCGCCATCACTGCCAGGACAGAACGGGTAAATCGCCCATCAGGATGTCACGAACCACAACGACACAACCAGTGTCGTGTTCTTAGATTGTATTAACGGGAGCAGTATTAGCGTCACCGCCACGTTCCCCGTCCGCCCCTGCAGCCAGCCAGCCAGCCAGCAAACCTTGTTTTGGAATATCGTACGATGGCATGAGTATGATATAGTACGGTGGCATATCGATATGGATTCGTACTGAGCATTGGCTGGGCACGTGGCTTGGGATGCATCGCTGAGGATGGAGCAGCGATGGTTGGTGGAACATTCACGAACGAGTGGGCAACACTTCACGGTCTTAGATTAACCTAATTATTATTGTAATAATCATAATTAGTACTCTTTCGTTATTTCGGTAAACTGCGTTAGCAGTTTCTTTCTGCTGTGTTTGTCTCACCTGATGACGGTTGCTTGTGTTGCGATCGAAACGTGATTTATTTAATTTTCTACCTACGTGACTTTACCGAAAGAACCAAAGAGTATGGATCCCTGCAGTCACGGAAGCTTCAAATCTATAATCATAATTAGTATTACAATGGCATGGTTATTACGTGCTGTTTTGTGTAATCGTAACCTACAGTGAGGGAAAAAAGTATTTGATCCCCTGCTGATTTTGTCCGTTTGCACACTGATAAAGAAATGATCAATCTATAATTATAATGGTAGGTTTAGTTGAACAGTGAGAGACAGAATAACAACAACAAAATCCAGTAAAACGCATGTCAAAAATGTTATAAATTGATTTGCATTTTAATTAGGGAAATGAGTATTTGACCCCCTCTCAATCAGAAAGATTTCTGGCTCCCAGGTGTCTTTTATACAGCTAGCGAGCTGAGATTAGGAGCACACTCTTAAAGGGAGGGCTCCTAATCTCAGCTTGCTACCTGTATAAAAGACACCTGTCCACAGAAGCAATCAGATTCCAAACTCTCCACCATGGCCAAGACCAAAGAGCTCTCCAAGGATGTCAGGGACAAGATTGTAGACCTACACAAGGCTGGAATGGGCTACAAGATAATTGCCAAGCAGCTTGGAAAGAAGGTGACAACAGTTGGTGCGATTATTCGCAAATGGAAGAAACACAAAATAACTGTCAATCTCCCTCGGCCTGGGGCTCCATGCAAGATCTCACCTCGTGGAGTTGCAATGATCATGAGAACGGTGAGGAATCAGCCCAGAACTACACGGGAGAATCTTGTCAATGATCTCAAGGCAGCTGGGACCATAGTCACCAAGAAAACAATTGGTAACACACTACGCCGTGAAGGACTGAAATCCTGCAGCGCCCGCAAGGTCACCCTGCTCAAGAAAGCACATATACATGCCCGTCTGAAGTTTGCCATTGAACATCTGAATGATTCAGAGGATAACTGGGTGAAAGTGTTGTGGTCAGATGAGACCAAAATGGAGATCTTTGGCATCAACTCAACTCGCCGTGTTTGGAGGAGGAGGAATGCTGCTTATGACCCCAAGAACACCATCCCCACCGTCAAACATGGAGGTGGAAACATTATGCTTTGGGAGTGTTTTTCTGCTAAGGGGACAGGACAACTTCACCGCATCAAAGGGACGATGGACGGGGCCATATACCGTCAAATCTTAGGTGAGAACCTCCTTCCCTCAGCCAGGACAATGAAAATGGGTCGTGGGTATTCCAGCATGACAATGACCCAAAACACACGGCCAAGGCAACAAAGGAGTGGCTCAAGAAGAAGCACATTAAGGTCCCGGAGTGGCCTAGCCAGTCTCCAGACCTTAATCCCATAGAAAATCTGTGGAGGGAGCTGAAGGTTCGAGTTGTCAAACGTCAGCCTCGAAACCTTAATGAATTGGAGAAGATCTGCAAAGAGGAGTGGGACAAAATCCCTCCTGAGATGTGTGCAAACCTGGTGGCCAACTACAAGAAACGTCTGACCTCTGTGATTGCCAACAAGGGTTTTGCCACCAAGTACGAAGTCATGTTTTGCAGAGGGGTCAAATACTTATTTCTCTCATTAAATTTCAAATCAATTTACAACATTTTTGACATGCGTTTTTCTGGATTTTCTTGTTGTTATTCTGTCTCTCACTGTTCAAATAAACCTAACATTAAAATTATAGACTGATCATTTCTTTGTCAGTGGGCAAACGTACAAAATCAGCAGGGGATCAAATACTTTTTTCCCTCACTGGACACACACACGTGCACGCGCGCGCACCTCACACAAACAAGCGCGCGCGCACACACACACACACACGTGCACGCGCCTTGCACAGACCAGCGCGCGCACACACACACACACACGTGCACGCGCCTTGCACAGACCAGCGCGCGCGCACACACACACACACACGTGCACGCGCCTTGCACAGACCAGCGCGCGCACACACACACACACATACGTGCACGCGCGCGCGCGCCCTCGGCCCCGCTCGCCGTAAAGCGTTATTATTGTAGACTGCAGAGTGTTGTGATAGCGTCTTTTACATCTCCAATACTCTTCGTCGACCGAACCGGGTCAAGGACAAGTCGCTCGGGGGAGTGGGGGAGGGGCCGCCTATTGCAGCACACCAAAGTAGGGTCGTTTTAAAACAAAGTCAAAAACGGTAACCGGTTTAAAAAAAAAAAAAACCGTTAACCGTATCGAGCATCGATTACCGGGTACAGAAAGTCAGGAGCAAGGTCAACGTTCCTCCCGACCCCACCCGCCCCAGTGGAATTGTGGTCGTGAAGGCCTCGGCTCGAGGGAGCTCTCGAGATGAATCCGGCGGATTCTCCCACACGGGCCACACGTCCTGCAAGAGTTTGACGAGCACCCACGCCTTACCCCACCACAAGCCGCCGACCGATCGACGCTTGAGCAGGAATAAAGAGAACGTACGGAGTAGGAGACGTTTCGGTACATTGACCCCTTTTTCTTCGGAGCGTGTAATAAGTAATAAAAAAAATGTAACTTTTTTTACTTTTTTTTTAAAACACGCTTTTATGAAATGTACTAGTAGTAATGGAAGAACTCCACGACTCCAGGCAGTGGCCCCGAAGCTTGCCACAACGCCAGGGGACCGTGGTCATATACAGCCAACGTCATGTTGAGCGTGGACAATAAGACTCAAGCCGAAACATAACATATACAAATGATTGTTTAAAAAAATATATGTTTTATTTTATATGATATAATATAGTATCGTCATCAGTATGACAAAAGTTTACCAAGTTTGCAGTCGATACCACGTTGGGAAGTGGGTTAAAATTGAGTGAGTTAAATAAAAACGTGTTATAATAATAAAAAGGGGTGCACGTGTCGCTGGCATAGAGATGAGAGGGTACAAAGACAAAGAACCCCCGTGGAGCCTTAACAGACTGTAGGGGCAAGTGCTGTTAACGAGCACCTTTGAAGGCCGGCACGGCACACGAGGGGGTGGGGTGGCCAACACCACGCCCGCCCGCCTTTGTCTCCCTCGTGGAGATGTTTACCCACCACCCCAGGTACTCATTTGAGGCTGAGTTGCCCTAAGGGAGGCCCATGACCGGTTTAAATAATCGCCACCGGTGATGGCCATGCGTGGGAAGCTAACTCGCGTCACCGTTCACCCACCCACCCACTCACCCATCCACCTACGCACCCACCCATTCACCCACTCACCCACCCATTCACCCACTCACCCACCCACTTACCCATCCACCTACTCACCCACTCATTCACCCACCCACCCACTCACCCATCCACCTACTCACCCACCCATTCACCCACTCACCCACCCATTCACCCACTCACCCACCCACTTACCCACCCGCTCACCACACTGCATGTCACCTCCCTTCTCTCTCTCTGCTTCTTCCTTCGCACCGCTCCACTCTAGAATTTCCCATCATCATCACCACCACCACCATCATCTCCAACCATCGCCTCTCTTCCCCCAAGTACATATTATAACAACAATAATTATAACCTCTTTCTATTCAAGCCAAACGTATGCCATACACGCTTATCTAACACAACTTGAATTGCGCTGGTTGTTGCTGGCCACGCTTTTCTTCCTTTGAGAGGCCACGTGCTCAGCACCCACGATCGGCACCATTCCAGGGGGGTATTTGTTTAAAAAGCGGTCGTTATTTTTTATCCTTTATGTATTCCTTTCTTTTTTGGAAATACCAAGCAAGAAAATGCACAACTCTGCAATCCGTGGGTATCTCGTGCGTTTTACGAGGCCCCTTATCGGCTGATAACCGCGTTACTGCTCGCCAGTAAGGCGTCTCTCCTGCACCGTTCAAGGTCTCTCCTCTAGGTGTCGACCAACTCCGACCCGATCTTTGTATCGAACTCCGGTGGTTTTATCTCCCCGGAGGCTTAACACTCCCTCGTTGATTGTGAGCGTGAGGGATTGCAACCGCGGCCTCGAGATGGTGATTGCAATGTGACCGCTGCGGGGTTTTACATTGTTGGCCATTGTGGCATTCTAACAGCGGGTGGGATGCGATTACAGAGTTCTGCTGGGTGTGGGATTGTAACCTTGGCTCGAGTGGGATTGCGATGGGACTGGCGGGGGATTGTAATGTCACCTGTGTGGGATTTTAGGTTTTTCCAATCGTGAGCACTGTGGAGTTCTGACCGTGGATATGGTGGCATTACAATTCTGATACGTGTGGGATTACAATCATAACTAAAGTGGGATTGTAATGTGAGTGGTGTGGGATTATAACTTTTTAACCATCGTGAGCACTGTGAAATTCTAACCTGTGGATAGGGTCGAATAAAAAATTGTGATTACTCTGGAACGAGTAGAATTAATCACTGTTATGAAATTCAAATTGTGATTGCTGTAATGTGGGATTCTGATCAGCGCCGCCATGCGATTACAACTCTGACCAACTCCGCCCAGAGTCTGGTACCCGTTTTGGGATTTCAACATTTTGAAGGATGCGGGAGTCTAATAAGCGGAAAGGATAAGAGGCGAGTCTCTTGAATTCCTTTAATCCCACACCTCTGTCCACTCGGCAGCAGCAGCAACGGTATAAATGAGCACAGCTCAGCAAGTCTACGATATGCAGGTCATAGCGTGCGGGTGGGGTTAAAGTGTAGGTAATCCCAGTTAAGACTATTCTTTATTTGACCAGGTGTAAGGCCCACTGAGCTATATAGCTTTTTTTTTCAGAAGCGACCTGACCACAAACACTAGCGCAGCGATGTGGCTTGCCATTTGGACATTGATAGCAGCCAAATACTCTAAATGCGTGATGTTGATTATCGGTGTTGGAGCGAAAAACTGGAGATTACCGGTGAAAAATCCACACGACCACGAGGAGAGAGACACGCAAACTCCAAATATACAGCAGCAGACGTCAGGGTCGGGATCGAACCCACGACCTCCTGTGTAGCAGGCGAGGGAGTTAACATCTCCTAGCCACCGTGGCGCCAGTTAGTCCAAGACGTCTGGCCAGCGTGAAAGAGTAGGCCAAGGTAACCGCACTAAAGAGGGGGGCCTCTACAGCACCCCTCTCTAAGAGTCCCCTCAAGCGGAGGTCCTTCAGTCAGCAGTGGCGGGAGCGAGCACTTGCAGGGCTGCGCCTTTTAGCTTTCATCCACACGCGGCGTTCGTGCAAAAAGCAACGCTCAGAGCATCGACTGACCGACTGACCGACTGACCGATCGACTGACCGACTGACCAATCGACCGATTGACCGACCGACTGAAAGACTGCCTGAACGACTGACCGACCGACCGACCGACTGACCGACTGACCAATCGACCGATCGACCGACCGACTGAAAGACTGACTGACCGACTGACCGACCGACCGACCGACTGACCGACCTTCAACCGCAGCTGTCGGCTCATCCGAGTACTCCTCGTAAACATCCGCAGTCGTGCGCTCACCAGGCCTGTCGCTCGTTGTTTCTGCGGGAGACAGATTTCATTCGGGCGCCGCTGTGCGTGTGTGTGTCGAGGCCGTAGCCATGGAGTCAACATTGAGGGGGACCAAATCTTCCAGGGTGTCTGGGGGTCCCAACCCAGAAAAATATCAAAAATGTTAAACTTATTTCCTGCCTAAAATATAAAAAAATTCACTAACACATGGGATGGACTTTTTATTTCTTTTTTACAATAATGTCTAATAGTGTATTGTATTACATTGCTCTGTTTTTTTTTACCATTTCTTGTTTCATTGTATGTAATGGCAGAGATTATGGATTAATAAAGTACAACCATAACCACAATCATATAAACAGAAATTTTTATGCATTGATTTATATGAAGACAAGTTCAGATATTGTGGCCAAGGTTTAGCAAATTGTTGTTTTTATTAACAAAGCATAGACATTATTTTTTATAGCAATATATTGGGGGGGGGGGGGGCATTTTGCGCATATTTGAATATAGGGGGGGATGTGTCCCCCCCCCAATGTATATTATAATTACGGCATTGGTGTGTGTTTCTATCTATCGCTCTCGTGCGTGTGTGCGACTGTGTGAAGCGATGGCGCATCGGTTAGCCACTCGCGGCCACCTACACCGGTGACGATTGTCTGAACCGGTCCTGGGCCTCCCCTCGGTCGACTCAGCCTCAAATGTGTAAACATCGCCACTCGGGAGCAAAAGCTGCCTACCGATCGACCCACTGTGGTTCAGGGAGAAAATAAAAACATCCGTCAGTAACACTGTGTGTGTGCGTGGCCTTAGCAGAAAGAAAAATACATGAGAGGCGACGTTTCGGGAAATGGCCCTTACTCTTCGTAGCACGTAAACAGCTCAGAGAGCAGAATGTGCCAACTCGGCGCCACGGTGGCTAGGAGATGTTAACTACCTCGCCTGCTATACAGGAGATCGTGGGTTCGATCCCGACCCTGACGCCTGCTGTGTATTTGGAGTTTGAGGTGTCTCTCTCTCCCTCCCTGTAGAGATGTTAACTACCTCGCCTCCTATACAGGAGGTCGTGGGTTCGATCCCGACCCTGGCGCCTCCTGCTGTGTATTTGGAGTTTGCGTGTCTCTCTCTCCGTGTAGAGATGTTAACTACCTCGCTTGTTATACAGGAGGTCGTGGGTTCGATCCCGACCCTGACGCCTGCTGTGTATTTGAAGTTTGAGGTGTCTCTCTTTCCCTCCCTGTAGAGATGTTAACTACCTCGCCTGCTATACAGGAGGTCGTGGGTTCGATCCCGACCCTGGCGCCTCCTGCTGTGTATTTGGAGTTTGCGTGTCTCTCTCTCCGTGTAGAGATGTTAACTACCTCGCCCGGTATACAGGAGGTCGTGGGTTCGATCCCGACCCTGGTGCCTCCTGCTGTGTATTTGGAGTTTGCGTGTCTCTCTCTCTCTCCCTGTAGAGATGTTAACTACCTCGCCTGCTATACAGGAGGTCGTGGGTTCGATCCCGACCCTGGTGCCTCCTGCTGTGTATTTGGAGTTTGCGTGTCTCTCTCTCCCTCCCTGTAGAGATGTTAACTACCTCGCCTGCTATACCGGAGATCGTGGGTTCGATCCAGACCCTGACGCCTGCTGTGTATTTGGAGTTTGAGGTGTCTCCCGGTGGTCGCAGCAGATTTCTCTCCGGCTCCTCCGGGTTTTCCCTCCACATTTTAGAATCAACGTCACACGCGTTCAGAGGATTTGCCTGCTGCGATACAATTCCATGCGACGATGATGGCCAGCCTAGTGGGCCCTACCTGGTAGATGAAACTTACATTTTAGTCCAGTCTATGGGTCTCAATCTATGTCTATGGGTGTCGATGCATCTCTATGGGTCTCGATGCATCTCTATGGGTCTCGATGCATCTCTATGGGTCTCGATGCATCTCTATGGGTCTCGATGCATCTCTATGTGTGCATCTACGCCAGGGGCGGGGAACGTCCGGCCCGCGGGCCGTATGAGGCCCACGAAATCATTTGGTGTGGCCCTGCCAAGGCAACCGCAGGCGGGACTCGAAATTCAATCAATCTAGGAGAGCAAACCTGGGAAAGCAGTTGCGAGTAGCAGCAACATCGTCAACACCAGCTAACATCATCACCACGCCTCACCAAAGAGAAGCAGTTCCAGCCATCGCATTAGGGGCGAGTTAATTAAATGTTTGACACAAATATAACAGGCTAATTTTTAAGTTGATAATTTTGTATGGCCCGCGAATGATGTTTGATAAATATCCAAATGGCCCTTGGCAGAAGAAAAGGTTCCCCACCCCCTTGCTCTACGCAATTAGATTATTTGGCTCCTGCTGTACATTTCCACACGGTGCCGATGATGAGCCACTACCTTGAGCTGTCATTATTGGTGGCCAGGTCGCCTCTGAAAAAGAAGCTACGCAGCTCAGCGGGGGCCTTACCGGGTAAAATAAAAAAAAACGTGAAGTTTCATTCGTTTTCAGAGAAGGCGTTCCCCGAATTAAGTCTTCAGGACTACTGGGGCAAGTGCTGTCAGCGAGCACCTATTAAGGTCGGCACGGCGCACGTGCGTAAAGGGGACGACGACGCGACCAGCATCGGCGCCCGCGGTGACCCCGGCAAAAGCATTCGCTCGTGCCCGGCCGCCTTTGTGTCCCCATCGCTGACACGATATTCATGGCCCGTTGAAACGGAACTCTGAGCGGCACTCACGCATCCACGGGGCCACGCGTGCCTCCTGGCTCCACTCGCTCCACTGTCCTCGCACGTCGTACCTGGCAGACATCTGTCCGTCGTCGTCATCATCATCATCGTCATCATGAGTTTAACACGTGGTCGGGATTTCGCGACCAATGTCATCCATGGTACAGGTCTTTTTTGGGGTTAGATCGCGTAAATATAAATGTGTCGTGAAACCCGCCACCATCCGACACGGCCCAATTGGAATAATTTGCCATGTAAATTAGAAGGTGCCAATTCTGCATGCGTATACAGGTCACCATACTTCAATTGCCGTTGGTACGGCTATTTTTCGTACACACAATTGACAGGAGATACAAGATCAATGGACTTGCATAATGCGCATGCATAATGTACGTTGATTAAATTACGATTCAAATCACCCAAATGGCAATGAATACCCAGTCATTTATATTTTAGCCCATTGTTCATTCATTAATTCCCCCCCCCCCCCCCCCACGTCATGTAAGAAGACCATACCAACACAAGCGTTGTCATCACATCCGCCCCTCTATTTAAGGAACGAATCAGGAGGATTTCTCCACGAATTTTGCTGTCGCCTGATGAAGCCAGTTGTAATTACTGGCGAAACGTCGTACTCAGATTGTAAATGTTGTGGCTTGGCTCTCCAACACACCGGGTGTGCTGTACTAGTGACGAATTGGCCACGTTCTGTTTTCGTGACAAACCTTTCTGATTGGCTGTGTCGGGTGGTGGCGGGTTTAACGACACATTTATATATTTACGGGATCTAACCCAAAAAAACCTGTATTATGGATCATTATCATTATTTGTCAAACGAATATAAAATGCATGTATCATTTTTTCGATGTAAAGCTTTCGTGACTGCAGGGATTCATCTTCTTGGTTCTTTCAAGAAAATTAACGTAGAATGGAAATAAAATAATAAAAATGAAATAATAAAATAATAAAAAAGTTAATGATTATTTTAATAATAATTATTTTATTTGTATTATTTTATTTCCATTCTACGTGACTTTACCGAAAGAACCAAGAAGATGCATGCATCATGTTCATCATCATCGCCACCGTTATTAATTATTCAAATTAAACGATTGCACTACCATGGTCTACATCCATTAACTTCGATTCCTAATCGTCACGAATGAGATCGATCATTATCATCATGTATGAAATAATTCAATCAATTTAATTAATTCACTGTCATCGTCTACGGAATTCATTCACTCTCGTCAACTATGAAATTAATTCAATATCGGCATCTGTTAAATTAACTTACGACCAGCATCTATGAAATTAATTCACTATCATCATCTCTGAAATTAACTAATCGTCCATGAAAGGAATTCACTATCAATGACATGAATTTACTGTGAGCATATGTGAAATTAATTCATTATCAATTACATTAATTCACTATCATTTACATTAATTAACTATCAATTACACGAATGCATTATCAATGACTTTCATTCACTATCAATTACATTAATTCACTATCAATTACATTAATTCACTATCGATTACATTAATGCATTGTCAATTACATTAATTCACTATTAGCATCTCTGAATGCATTTATTTATTAAGGTAATTCACTATCATCATCATATATGAAACAAATAACTATCAGCATCTATTAAATTCATTTACTGCCAGCATCTATGACATGAATTCACTATTATCATCTATGAAAGGAATTAATCATTAATTAAAGGAATTCACTATCAATTACATGAATTTGCTATCAGCATCTATGATATTAATGCACTATCAATGACATTAATCACGATCATCATCATCTATGAAACAAATCACTATCAGCATCAATTAAATAAATGTACTAACAGCATCTATCAAATGAATTCATTATCATCATCTATAATATAACATTCACCGTTATTATATCATTATCACCATCATCACTATCCCCACCACTTGACCACCGTCACCACCGGAGTCACCTGCACAACGTGTTCGGTCCCGGGATGAGCGTCCGTAATCAAATATTCTTTACTGTCGTATGGAACCTGGACCTGAAATAATTGAGAGCAACACGAGACACAAAAAAAGACAAAGATTCCCCGTATAGCCTCAGCAGACTGTTGGGGCAAGTGCCGTTAGCGAGCACCTATGGTGGGTGGCCAACACCACGCCCGGCCACCTTTGTCTCCCTATTGGCGATGTTTACACACCGCACCAGATACTCATTTGAGGCCGAGTCGACCTAGGGGAGGCCCGGAACCGGTTCAAGTGATCGTCACTGGCGGTGGCCGTGAGCCGGAGTCGATCCCGGGTTGCCAGGTTCGTAGCGCAGCGAGCTAACCGTTACACTACCGCTCCCCACAAGACACAACACACACACAGGGCACATTGAATACTAATTGCTTATTTACCCTGGAAGCCACACCTAGTCCAATTACTTATTTTAAGGAGGGTCCTGCATTGTACGTGTTTTATTTTTATATACAGGGTGCTTAAAAAAACGTGTTGACATTTGACTTAAAACTTTCGTGACTGCAGGAATTAATATTCTTTGGTTATTTCGGTAAAGTCACGTAGATATGAAAATAAGAATAAAAATAAGGTGAATAAAAATAATAAAAAATAAAATAAAAATAATGAACAACAAAAAAACCACTCATGTAGACTGTAGCCTGGTTCTAAATCGGATTGAGTGTACTGGCAGTCTATAGTGTAGACTGTAGCCTGGTTATTAAGTTTGGTGAATGTACTGGCAGCCTATAATGTAGACTGCAGCAATGGTTATTAAGCTGGGTGAGTGTACTGGCAGCGTCGGGAGGAAACCCCACACGCGCGAGGGAGAAACGCTCGATCCTTACACAGATGGAACGGATGGAGACGAGTCCACCTGCTGTGCCATTTTCCGCTGGCGAGCCACGGTGCGAGCACCTCCTCAATACACAGCGCGGGATTTTGCCCCGATGGACGGCCCTGCCCATAGGTATAGAGTAGAATAGTGACCTCTTTCAAGTGGCGCTGGTGCAGGGAGCGGTGGCGCAATCGATAGTGCAGGATGAAGATGTTGGCCTCGCTCCACGTGGCGGGAGACTCCCAGGTGATGATGACCTCGGAGGGAGCCGTGGGGTTGTGGTAGCCGCGCACGGACTGCGGCGGGTCAGGCTGCACTGATCACCATCATCAGGATCATCGATTAATCATCATCATCTTTATTTTTTTATCGCAAGAGCATTATCATCATCGTCATCGATTAGTCGCCGTCATTGATAACCGCCGGCGATATCGATTCATCATCGCTATCGATAATTGTCGTTATTGTCGATTAGTCATCATCATTGATAACCATAGTTATTATGGACGAGTCGCTATCGCCGATGAAATGCTCGTGACCATCGAGTAATCATCGTAATCGTCACCATCGCTTCACAGATATAATCGGGCATTATTAATCATAATTCCACTAAGCATGATCATCATTGAATAAGCATCATCATGGAGTAGTTGTCACCGTCATTATAATAATCGATTAATCATTGTAGTCGTCATTCATCGTTGAATCGGCGTCATCATTATTGTCATCGTGGATTAGTAATAATCACCGTCAATCTTCCTTATTATATAAAAGTCAAAAATTGCCTGTCGGTTTTTGGCTTTGTGTGTGTCCGCGCGCTTGCGAAGGATTTGGCTCCCCAACGGTGGAGTTAACGTTAAATAAGAAAACAGCCAGGTACCACATCCGTCAACTTTTAATGAGTTTAATTAGCGATTTAGTGCGATTTTTTTTAGAGCTATTTCTTTATTTATTTAATTATGACGCGCGCACGACCATACCAACTCACGCGCCTTTGGTGGGGGAGACGGACCCATGCCAAGTCGCACGCCGTCGGCGGGAGTGAGGGGGACATTTTCTTTCGCGTTAAAAATTATATAAAACTACACTAAACGCTGACGTTAAATCTTCACTGTGTGATGTCCCCCCCCCCCAACCCGATGCGTGCAGTTACTACTATACAGTCGCTAGATGCTACTACTATAGGCTGTAGATATTACTGCAGAGTGGCTGGGGAGATCGCGGCTGGGGGGGGGGGGTCAGGGGTAGTAGCCCAGCCCTAGCCTGCCAAGGTGCCACCTCGGCCGGCTGGACAATCTAGGCGAGGCCGGAGGCTCTGCACGGGACTAGGCCTCACCAGGCCACTCTGTCAGGTGAGTACTTTGTGCTATAGAGTCGATAGATACTGCTATAGAGTCAGCATGTACTACTGTAGTGATAGCAGGTACCACCACAGTCGGTATGCACTGCTGTAATCATAGCAGGTACCACCACAGTCAGTACGCACTGCTGTTAGATTTTTAAGAGTAGTTTTGAAATGTTTTTTTGGCCCGGGCAACGCCGGGTATATAAGCTAGTTAAAGATAATACGTAGAATTGATCATCAATCACCATCATCGTGATGGTGGTGATGATGATGATTATAGTGGTGACGATAGTGATGATGGTGACGATGGTGATGATGACGACGATGGTGATAATGACGACGGTGTTGATGATGATGACGATGGTGGTAACGACGATGATGATGACGTCGGTGATGGTGATGATGACGATGATGACGATGATGACAACGGTGATGATGATAACGATGGTGATGATTGTGACGACGATAATGACGATGATGATGGTGACGATGGTGATGATCGTAATGATGATGATGGTGATGATGATGGTGTCGGCGATGGTGACAATGGTGACGATGATGATGGTGACGACGGTGGTGACGATGACGACGATGATGACGACGATGACGACGATGATGACGACGATGACGACGGTGACGATGATGACGACGGTGATGACGACGGTGGTGACGATGGTGGCGACGGTGACGATGATGACGGTGGCGACGGTGGTGACGATGGTGGCGACGGTGACGACGGCGGTGACGATGGTGGCGACGGTGACGACGACGACGTTTGTGAGGATCTGCAGTACCGATGTCATCTAACTCGAAGCTGATGATGGCGGCGCTGCTCTCCCCGAAGGCGTTGCGGGCGCGCACCGTGACGCGGAAGGGGCTGGTGGTGAACATCACGATTTGGTGTGCCGTGCAGCTGAGGCCCTCGGCCACCTTGCACTCGAGGTCACGGCCTTGTTCTAGGAAATCGTGACTGGGCAAAACATCGTCATCACCATTGATTGGTCTTCATCACCAGATTGATATTTATCGTCGTCATCATCATCATAGATCGATCATTATCGGCATCATCATCACCATTGATTGATCCTTGTTGCCATATATTGATCATTATTGTCCCAATCGTAGATTGATTATAATCGTCAATGATTGATCATCATTACCATAGATTGGTTAGTACCGTCATCATCATCACCATATATTGATCATTATCGTCATCATTATCGTATATTGATCACCATCATCATCATCGTCATTATCATCACCATTGATTGATCATCACCACCGTAGATTGATCATTATCGTCATAATCATTACCATAGATTGATCGCTGTCGTCATCATTACATATATTGATCATTGTCATCATCGTTATCTTCATCACCATAGATTGACCATTATCATCATCATCACCATAGATTGATTATCATAATAATCGCACTCCAGCTCACGATCTTCCACGCCTCCATCAGCAACGGATCATCATCGGAGTAAAAGTCATTATACAAATGAAATAACAGTTATAACAACATTTTTTCTGATCAATTCATCATCACATATTCATCATCATCAATACACTCGATCCAGCAGATTGGCTGAGAATGGGTTCATCATTATAATATTATCATTTATTAATCATGGTCATCAATTAATTGATTCATCATTATCTTGACCATTGCTATGATGACAACTTTGTAAGGCGCCGTACATAGTCAATGCATAGGTAACGCATAAGGTTATACAGATGAATGTTAAACGTCTTTCGCACCGTACGTAGACAAACCGCGCGAATTGGAGGTGCGGGGGAAGGACAAACCAACTAAACGTAAAATGCAGCTCTAAAGAAATGAGTTTGTCATTCTAGATGATCATGATTTAAATGTGGACAGCTCCAGTGGCTTCCTAACATCGGAAGGAAGGAGGGAGCGTTCCAGACGGCCGCAGTAGCGGCGCATCTGAAAGCACCGCCGTGGACGTTGTGGCTATTGGCCAATTAATGGGAGGAAGCCGGAGCACCCGGAGAAAACGCGAGGGGGCAACGCTCTATCCCGTGCAGATGGAACAGACGGAGATTAAGTCCCAGAGATCGTCGTTGCTGTACCGACTTCTCGTGGCGAGCCAGTGGCACGGCTCCTCCTCGACGCTTCAACGGGAAGGGAGGAGTTTCGCCACGTCCCTGTGTGATCCACCAACCCCCTCCCTCCCCTCCCTCGCTGCTGGCTCCACAGTGCTGGGTTACAGGCGGCCACCCCCACACAGCCACCCCGGCTAATTGGCCATGATCACGAACGACTCGTGACAGTAATAGCGTCGTCATCATCGGCATCGCGATCTGTTCGCCGTTAGCATCATACACTAATCATCATCATCATAATTATCGACCAATTACCATTGCATTCCGGGTTTCATTTAAGCCGCGTCTGGCCGGGTAAGCGACCAGTAAAGCACCTCGGCACCGGGCCCACCACATCCAGAATACCACTCGCTGTCACCGTGACGACGAGCAAAGTGCTTACTTCAATCCACCAGCGACCCGGAAAACATGTCGTGTCCCCATGTCTCCCTGCGCCTCCCCGTGTCGTCTACCCCCATGTCTCCCCGTGTCTCTCCCTGTGTCTCCCTATGTCTCCCTGTGTCTCTCCCTGTGTCTCCGTGTGTCTCCCCGTGTCTCTCCCTGTGTCTCCCTGCGCCTCCCCGTGTCGTCTACCCCCATGTCTCCCCGTGTCTCTCCCTGTGTCTCCCTATGTCTCCCTGTGTGTCTCCCTGTGTCTCCCCGTGTCTCTCCCTGTGTCTCCCTGCACCTCCCCGTGTCGTCTACCCCCGTGTCTATTCCTGTGTCTACCCCCGTGTCTCTCCCTGTGTCTCCCTGCGTCTCTCCCTGTGTCTCTCCCTGTGTCTCTCCCTGTGTCTCTCCCTGTGTCTCCCTATGTCTGTCACTGTGTCTCCCCGTATCTCTCCCTGTGTCTCCCCGTGTCTCTCCCTGTGTCTCCCTGTGTCTCCCCATGTCTCTCCCTGTGTCTCCCCGTGTCTATCCCTGTATCTCCCTGTGTCTATCCCCGTGTCTCCCTGTGTCTCCCTGTGTCTCTCCCTGTGTCTCCCTATGTCTGTCCCTGTGTCTCCCCGTGTCTCTCCCTGTGTCTCCCCGTGTCTATCCCTGTGTCTCCCCGTGTCTATCCCTGTGTCTCCCCGTGTCTCTCCCTGTGTCTCCCCGTGTCTATCCCTGTATCTCCCTGTGTCTATCCCTGTGTCTCCCTGTGTCTCCCTGTGTCTCTCCCTGTGTCTCCCTATGTCTGTCCCTGTGTCTCCCCGTGTCTATCCCTGTGTCTCCCCGTGTCTATCCCTGTGTCTCCCTGTTTCTATCCCTGTGTCTCCCTATGTCTCCCTGTGTCTGTCCCTGTGTCTTCCTGCGCCTCCTCGTGTCGTCTACCCCCGTGTCTACCCCCGTGTCTATCCCCATGTCTCCCCGTGTCTCTCCCTGTGTCTCCCTATGTCTCCCTGTCTCTCCCTGTGTATCGCTATGTCTCCCTGTGTCTCTCCCTGTGTCTCCCCGTATCTGTCCCTGTGTCTCCCCGTGTCTGTCCCTGTGTCTCCCCATATCTGTCCCTGTGTCTCCCTGTGTCTCTCCCTGTGTCTCCCCGTATCTGTCCCTGTGTCTCCCCGTGTCTGTCCCTGTGTCTCCCCGTGTCTCTCCCTGTGTCTCCCTATGTCTCCCCGTGTCTCTCCCTGTGTCTCCCTATGTCTCCCCGTGTCTCTTCCTGTGTCTCCCTATGTCTCCCCGTGTCTCCCCGTGTTGTCTACCCCCGTGTATCCCAGCCTCACCTGTAGGTGGCAGTGATGTTCTCCAGGGGGTTCTTCCCGTCCCCGAGTTTCCACGAACAGCTGAACTCCCAAGCCGCCAGGTTCCGTGCACGGCACCTGAGATCAGTCGGAGCAGCCGGAGGCTCTGCACACGGAGACACGGGGACACGGGGGCATGAAGACACGGAGATGCGGGGACACGGGAGCATGTCCACCAACAATATACTACATCTAAAACAATGTGGGTTTCGAAAAAAATACAGTACCACATCTGCTGCATTAGACTCTCTGAATCACATTTACAGCAGCCTTGATAATAAGCAGTACTGTGCCTGTCTATTTCTAGACCTGTCCAAAGCTTTTTATACAGTAGACCACAACACCCTGCTTAGTAAGCTTAGTTGCCTAGGTTTTGCCGAAAACACAGTAAAATGGTTACAAAATTACCTCTTTTCTCGCACCCAGACTGTATTCACAGATGGTTGGAGGTCAAACGGTGTTAAGATAACAAAAGGGGTTCCACAGGGTTCCATCCTCGGCCCCCTCTTGTTCTCTCTTTATGTCAATGACTTGAGCACTGACCTGGATCATTCCAGGGTAAATCTTTTTGCAGATGACACGATACTGATTACTGCTGGCCGCTCTCCGGATGACGTGATTGCTAAGCTACAGGGTGATTTCAACAAACTACAACATCAGCTAGTTGCTCTTAAACTAGTACTGAATACCTCCAAAACAAAGGTGCTTCTCACCAGGACTAAAGCAGAACGTTATTTTTCCCCAATTACATTTTTTAAATAATTATCAAATAGAGCAAGTCAAGATCTATAAGTATCTTGGGGTCATTCTGGATTCAAAACTGAATTTTGAAGATCACATTGATTATATTGGTAAAAAGACAAAAATAAAAATAGGTTTTCTGTATCGACACAAGCACTGCTTCCCCCCAATGTTCCGTTTGGAATTGATAAAAGCTACCATACTGCCTCTACTTGACTACTGTGACATTGTGTATAAATCAGCACCAAGTACTGTACTGAAGAAGCTTGATTCCATCTATCACTCGGCCTTAAGATTTACTTTGAACTGCCCATATAGGACTCGCCACTCTGATCTCTACATTGGATCAAACTTAACATATCTTAATGTTCAACGGCTTGTGCACCAGATCTTGTTTATTCACGATGTACTTCCAAAAAAATCCGCAGACTACCTGCTGGATCTCCTCTCTGTTTCAAAGAACAAACTTGACCTCACGTCTTCGCTCATTTACCAGCTTCACATTCCCTATTGCCGTACATAAACTGGAGGAAGGGCCTTTGCTATTGATGCCCCCAGGGTCTGGAATGCTATTGCCAATAAACTGCAACTTGAATCGCTACCAATGAGATCTTCTCTCAAAACTGCTCTAGAGGAGTTGTACACCCCTAGCTGCCACTGCTATTCATTGGCGTAAAATAAAATAAAATGTTTCACTCCGGATTACGCTGCAAAGTATTATCTGTATTTTGATTTAGCGTGCTGATCTTAAAGGTGCATTGAAAAATGTGATACTCCGACTGATGCTCCTGTTGTTGTGGAGTAACTCATGCAGCCAGCTATGGCTCTAGGATTTGGTGTTACATGTTATTTATATAGTTTATTGTAAAAATTCGGTCACAGTCCCTATGATCACTGTTACGTTGCAATTATGGCTTTATTTTTTGGTGATTTTCGAAAAGTTTTTTGGTTTGGACATGTTTGTTTTGTTGTAGTACGGAGTTAGACTGATGGCCTTAATCTAAGTTTTTGTGGTTGTTGTTGTTTGACTTGCATCCCACTGGGATTTTTTGCACACAGTGTTGGTGTACGGTGCTTTTTCCCGGAATATTTTGCTGTTTTTTCCTGGATTTTCTGTTTGCACAGTCACATAGTCACTTTAAGATGTTTTCTTGTTCGTATTTTTGTTTGTTGTTTGTTGTGGTTGCACCCGATTCAAGAGCCGAATGGCTCACAGGGCTATACCAAAATAAACTGAACTGAAACTGAAAAACTGGAGCCACGAGGAAACAGAAACAGACATGGTGCTATGCAGACACGGAGACGAGTAGCTTCATTGACTGATTTTATCACCCGCTCATGAACTAACTCATGTACTGACTCGTTGACTTACTAATTCACTAACTGATTGACGAACACATCGAATGGCCCATTGAAGCTCAACTAGCCCGTTGACTAACTTACCGAATAACCCATTAACGACTGCCTACCTGACTGTCTGACTCAATGACCAGGTCGACGAATGAACGAACGAAAGAACGATTGAACGAACGATTGAACAAATGAACGAATGAATGAACGAATGATTGAACGAATTCATGAACGAATCAATGAATGAACGAACGAATCAATGACTTAACGAACGATCGAATGAACGAACGATTGAACTAATTAATGAATTAACGAACGATTGAACGAATTAATGAATGAACGAACGGTTGAACGAATTAATGAACGAACGATTTAATGAATGAACGAACGATTGAACAAATTAACGAATGATTGAACGAATTAATGAACGAACGATTGAACGAATCAATGAACGAACGATTGAACGGATGAACGAATCAATGAATGAACGAAGGATTTTACGAATTAATGAATTAACGAACGATTGAACGAGCGATTGAACGAATTAATGAACGAACGATTTAACGAATGAAACGTGCCACGAGTGCCAGGGACAAGTCACCTCCGGTCACGATGCGCACGGCCGAGAGGACCTTTCCCGAGGGGCTCTCCACGCACTCGTAGCGACCCCCGTCGCTCGGCCCCACCGAGGGAATGACCAGGTGCCCAGAGTCCCAGGGGTCACCGGGGTCACCGGGACCCCCGGGGCCCGCGACACCCCCTTCGGGGAGCGCCCCCGGGTCCCCGAGGTGCCTCCAAGACAGCCGCGCCCCCCTCAACTCCCGGACGGTGCAGGGGAACGAGACGGACTTGCCCAGAGCCACGTGGAGTACTGGGGTGGTGGTGGTTGTGGTGGTGGTGGTGGAGAGAAGATCTGATGCGGAGATGTCGACGAGCTATCGTTAATATCGTAATCACCATCATTGCAATGCACACCATTGTCATGTTATAGTCATCATCATCATTGTCGTCGGCGTGGTTATCGTCATTAATTAATCGTCATCGTTGACAACATCGTCTTCATAATCGTCATCTTCTTCATCGTTGTCGTCATCGTCAATATCGTCAGTGTCCCCATCACTGTACTTATCACAATAGTCGTAATCATCACCATCATCATCGTTTCATCGTCTTCATTGCCATTATCGGAATCCTCATCACTGCTCTCATCTTAACTTAAAGCTTTCGTGACTGCAGGAATTCACATCCTTTGGGTCTTTCGGTAAAGTCACGTAGAAAGGTTCAAAGAAAACGTCGTGGTTTTTTTGTTCATTTTTGTTATTTTCTTTGAACCTATCTACGTGACTTAACCGAAAGACCCAAGAATATTCTCTCATCTTAATCATCATCATCATCACCGGCACAATCATCGGTAGGTTTCACAATCAGATTTCATTCCACGCACGCGCGCGCGCACATGCACAGGAGTCGAGGTCAGACCGCACGCAGGACCCCGCTAAAGTGGCGGCTCACGAGCAGCTCTTTAACAAACAAACAAAAACAAACAAACGCACAAAGATCCCCCGTGTTGCACCTCCGATTAGCACGCGTTGGCTGTGTAATGTGCGAAAGAAGTTCAACGTACATGTATATATACAAGAGGCTGTTCGGGAAAGTGAATTTCAAACCTGGACCACTCGCGCGACGATCGCGGTCAGCTGTGCAGTGCCGGATTATCGTAGTAGCAAAAGTAGCTACACATGCTACGGGCCCCCCGCTCTCAAGGCCCCCCGCTTTCAAGGGCCCCCCGCTTTCAAGGGCCCCCGTGCTCTCAAGGCCCCCGCGCTTTCAAGGGCCCCCCGCTTTCAAGGGCCCCCGTGCTCTCAAGGCCCCCGCGCTCTCAAGGCCCCCGCGCTTTCAAGGGCCCCGCGCTCTCAAGGGCCCCGCGCTTTCAAGGCCCCCGCGCTTTCAAGGGCCCCCCGCTTTCAAGGGCCCCCGTGCTCTCAAGGCCCCCGCGCTTTCAAGGCCCCCGCGCTCTCAAGGGCCCCCCGCTTTCAAGGCCCCCGCGCTTTCAAGGGCCCCCTGCTTTCAAGGGCCCCACACTTTCAAGGCCCCCGCACTTTCAAGGGCCCCCCGCTTTCAAGGCCCCCGCGCTCTCAAGGCCCCCGTGCTCTCAAGGCCCCCGCGCTCTCAAGGCCCCCCCCCCCGGTTTCAAGGCCCCCGCTTTCAAGGGCCCCGCGCTTTCAAGGGCCCCCCACTTTCAAGGGCCAAACGCTTTCAAGGCCCCCGCGCCCTCAAGGGCCCCCCGCTTTCAAGGCCCCCGCTTTCAAGGCCCCCGCTCTCAAAGGCCCCCGCGCTTTCAAGGGCCCCGCGCTCTCAAGGCCCCCGCACTCTCAAAGGCCCCGCGCTTTCAAGGGCCCCACGCTTTCAAGGGCCCCCTGCTTTCAAGGGCCCCCCGCTTTCAAGGGCCCCCGTGCTCTCAAGGCCCCCGCGCTTTCAAGGGCCCCCCGCTTTCAAGGGCCCCCGTGCTCTTAAGGCCCCCGCGCTCTCAAGGGCCCCGCGCTTTCAAGGCCCCCGCGCTTTCAAGGGCCCCCCGCTTTCAAGGGTCCCCGTGCTCTCAAGGCCCCCGCGCTTTCAAGGCCCCCGCGCTCTCAAGGGCCCCCCGCTTTCAAGGCCCCCGCGCTTTCAAGGGCCCCCCGCTTTCAAGGGCCCCGCACTTTCAAGGCCCCCGCGCTTTCAAGGGCCCCCCGCTATCAAGGCCCCCGCGCTCTCAAGGCCCCCGTGCTCTCAAGGCCCCCGCGCTCTCAAGGCCCCCCCCCCCGGTTTCAAGGCCCCCGCTTTCAAGGGCCCCGCACTTTCAAGGGCCCCCCACTTTCAAGGGCCCCCCGCTTTCAAGGCCCCCGCGCTCTCAAGGCCCCCGCGCTCTCAAGGGCCCCCCGCTTTCAAGGCCCCCGCTTTCAAGGCCCCCGCTCTCAAAGGCCCCCGCGCTTTCAAGGGCCCCGCGCTCTCAAGGCCCCCGCACTCTCAAAGGCCCCGCGCTTTCAAGGGCCCCCTGTTTTCAAGGGCCCCCCGCTTTCAAGGGCCCCCCGCTTTCAAGGGCCCCCCGCTTTCAAGGGCCCCCTGCTTTCAAGGGCCCCGCGCTTTCAAGGGCCCCGCGCTTTCAAGGGCCCCGCGCTAAATGATTTCAAGCTATCAATTCTGGTTCATTGATTCTGGACTTGCTCTATTAATATAGGACTACACCGCCTTCAACTTTTATAAACGACTGGGTGTTTAAGATGAGCGATTTGTCGTGGTATCTGGCTATATAGCAAATGAAAAAATACATTTACTTTACTATGCAAGTAAAAGAAATGTGTGTTTTTTTTATTTATTTAGGGCCCCCTTATAACATATGCTACAGGCCCCACACTCGTTAAATACCGGCACGACAGCTGTGGCCACTCCACCGAGCTCTGTGACCCCACTAGGGGATCTCAACGGGCTGCCCGATCTAACCTCATCACCTACCGCAGTATCGACTAAAGACAAAGATCACCCGTGTAGCCTCAGCAGTCTTTTTTGGTCAAGTGCTGTTTACCGAGGTGCATCTAGGAAGGCCGGCATGGCACATGAAGGGGGTGGGTGGCCAGCAACCACGCCCGATCGCCTTTGTCTCCCCAGTGGCGATATTTACACAAACTATGAAAAATACTTTTTTTCTTTTACCAGGTAAGGCCCGCTGAGCTATGTAGATTTTTTTCAGAAGCGACCTGGCCACAAATGATAACGAAGCGGCTTTATCATCATGCGGGAAACTATAGTGGTCGCCAGATGTTCTGAACACGTGTTTCTAAATGTGGAGGGAGAAAAACCGGAGGATCCGGAGTAAAAATCTACGCGACCAATAATCAACAGATATTGGTAGTGTGCTGCTATCGACCGCCTAGTGGGAAGGATATTGAAGCTGCATCTGCACTGAGAGAGCTTTGTGGGGGCCTCCCTAAAGGTGAAATAGTTTTAGTGGATGATCTAAATTGGAATTGGCTAAACCCGCCGGCCGTGGCCACAAATTTTGCAGATGAATTTAATCTGTTTCAATTAATAAATGTCCCCACAAGACCAAACCTAAAAAATCCGGGACAGTCATCTCTGCTTGACGTCCTATTGACAAATGCCCCTCACTATTTCACACTGACTGGTGTTCTGGGTAATAACCTTAGTGATCACTCCTTCATTTTTGGGGTGAGATCATCAGCCAGACCCAAAGCCCCCCCTAAATTGGTTGAGAAGCACTCTATGAGACACTTCAGCACTCAGGCATTTACTCATGATGTGCTTCACTCGGATATTGACAAGGTCTGTGATATCCCCAACCTGACTACGGCTTGGGAGACCTTCAGGTACACGTTTCTCCAAATTCTTAACAAACATGCTCCATTGGTTAGATTTAAAACTAAAGGCAACCGCCCACCATTGGTTGATCCTTTGATTACAAAGCTCATGAAAACTAGGGACAAGGCTTGGGCATGTGCTCAGAAAAGTAATTTGGTCAATGACTGGCTAGAATACAGGATTTTAAGGAATAGATGCGTCAAAAGAATACGGCATGCAAAAAATGCCTACTTTTCCTCCACTCTCCTGGAATCACATGGAAATGCCAGGATTTTCTGGAAAACAATCAAATGTATCGAAAAGGCATCCAAAACAGACAATCTGCCCGCTAAGCTTAACCGAAATGGGGAATATTTTTCAGATCCCAAAAAAATTGTTGACAATTTTAACCTTCATTTTTCTGAAGCTGGTAATCTTTTTGATAATGTATTGGGAGTCACCCCTGCTCATGCAAATTCCTACAACCCTGTCCGAACATTAAACGAATTTAGTTTCCAGCCAATCCACGAAAGTAATGTTCTGAAACAAATGTCCTACCTCAAAGGGTCGTCCTCTACCAGAGCAGATAGTATTCCCGTCTTTGCTCTACTAACTGTTGGTCACCTAATATACAAACCTATAGCCCATATTTTCAACCTGTCCATCAAAGAAGCATCAGTTCCTCTAGAATGGAAACATACCTATGTCCGTCCACTTCACAAAGGGGGCCCTAAAGATGATCCAAATAACTACCGACCTATCTCAATTTTGTCCCCGTTGATGAAAATTTTCGAAAAATTATTGACCTACCAAATTAGCAGTTTCCTGTCCACCAACAATCTACTACATCTAAAACAATCTGGGTTCCGAAAAAAATACAGCACCACATCTGCTGCATTAGACTCTCTGAATCACATTTACAGCAGCCTTGATAATAAGCAGTACTGTGCCTGTCTTTTTCTAGACCTGTCCAAAGCTTTTGATACAGTAAACCACCACACCCTGCTTAGTAAACTAAGTTGCCTAGGTTTTGTCGTAAACGCAGTAAAATTGTTACAAAATTACCTCTTTTCTCGCACCCAAACTGTATTCAAAGATGGTTGGAGGTCAAACAGTGTTCAGATAACAAAAGGGGTTCCACAGGGTTCCATCATCGGCCCCCTTTTGTTCTCTCTTTATGTCAATGACTTGGGCACTGACCTGGATCATTCCAGGGTAAATCTTTTTGCAGATGACACGATACTGATTACTGCTGGCCGCTCTCCGGATGACGTGATTGCTAAGCTACAGGGTGATTTCAATAAACGACAATATCAGCTAGTTGCTCTTAAACTAGTCCTGAATACCTCCAAAACCAAGGTGCTATGCTTCTCACCAGGACTAAAGCAGGAAGTTATTTTTCCCCAATTACATTCCTTAAATAATTATCAAATAGAGCAAGTCAAGATCTATAAGTATCTTGGGGTCATCCTGGATTCAAAACTGAATTTTGAAGATCACATTGATTATATTGGTAAAAAGACCAAAATAAAAATTGGTTTTCTGTATCGACACAAGCACTGCTTCCCCCCAATGTTCCGTTTGGAATTGATAAAAGCTACCATACTGCCTCTACTTGACTACTGTGACATCGTGTATAAATCAGCCCCAAGTACTGTACTGAAGAAGCTTGATTCCATCTATCACTTGGCCTTAAGATTTACATTGAACTGCCCATATAGGACTCACCACTGTGATCTCTACATTGGGTCAAACTTAACATCTCTTAATGTTCGACGGCTTGTGCACCAGATCTTATTTATTCACGATGTACTTACAAAAAAATCCGCAGACTACCTGCTGGATCTCCTCTCTGTTTCAAAGAACAAATTTGACCTCAGGTCTTCACTCATTTACTGGCTTCACTTTCCCTATTGCCGTACAAAAACTGGAGGAAGGGCCTTTGCTATTGATGCCCCCAGGGTCTGGAATGCTATTGCCAATAAACTGCAACTTGAATCGCTACCAATGAGATCTTCTCTCAAAACTGCTCTAGAGGAGTTGTACACCCCTAACTGCCACTGCTATTCATTGGCGTAAAGTAAAATAAAATGTTTCGCTCCGGATGACGCTGCAAAGTATTATCTGTATTTTGATTTAGCGTGCTGATCTTAAAGGTGCATTGAAAAATTTCACAGGGCTATACCAAAATAAATAAATAAACTAAAACTGAGAGACACACAAACTCCAAATATACAGGCGTCAAGGCCGGAATCGAACCCACAACCCCCTGTATACCAGGCGAGATAGTTAACATCTAGCAGAGGCCCATGACCGGTTGAGAAATTCGTCACTGGTGTTGGCCGTGAGCGGGAATCGAACCCGTGTCTATGCCGGGTTCGTGGCGCAACGGGCGCTAACCGCTGCACCACCGCTCCCCCGTACAGCACTGCCGCCATCTATCGATAGACGTTAAGATTGTTTCGTTTATCAATGTACTACACATACTTAGTTGGGAGGTAATTCATTTTCCATTATCCGTATTGAGAATTTGTTGCACGTTTATGTCAGCGACTGTTCTAGAAACACGCGTTTAGATTATTTAGAGTATGCTGCTGCTGCTATAAAATTTCCACGTGACTATTAGCCACTTCGTTGAGCTATCACGTGTGGCCAGGTTGCTTATTTTTAAATAAAGAGCAACGTAGCTCAGCGTGCCTTACCTGGTAAGATCAAACAAAGTTTAGTTGTATTTGTGTAGATACATGTTTTTAGTCGTGTGGTTACCTTTCCATTACTTTTCACTCATACCGCGTTTTTGTATTAGTTTATAGTATCGTTTGTTGTTGTAACGTTCTGACCTGCCCCTACTGGACACGTGATAAAAAAAATAACGTTATATCTCATCGGATTCCTCCAGTCTCAATAAATGTTCTGATTGTGATTCTAAATACTGAGCGACGGCTCAGTGTTACAATGTGAAGTTACAGCTACTGTGCCATACCCGTCAACACATACGGCTCATCCGTTATTCTTCCACAGGGAAATTGAGGTTTCAAATGTGTACGGCGTACAGCCGTTTCAATACGGGCAACAACTAAAATGTCTATTTGTGTTCCTCTCCTTGTGATGGGACTTTGTAGGATGAACGTTGAGATTTATAAGGGGCACGGCGGGGCACGGCGTTACAAATAAGGTCTGAAATAATTTAGGCACTGATAAGGGGTTGGCAGGAATGTACTATACATACTACTATACATACTACTATACATACTACTATACATACTACTATACATACTACTATACATACTACTATACATACTACTATACATACTACTATACATACTACTATACATACTACTATACATACTACTATACATACTACTATACATACTACTATACATACTACTATACATACTACTATACATACTACTATACATACTACTATACATACTACTATACATACTACTATACATTCCTACACAACACTATAATACTGCTATACCTGTCAACCCATACGGTTTACTCCGTATTATTGTAGAGGGTTGTACAGGGGAATTGAGTGTTTATATCCACACGGCGTGCAGCCGTCTCAATACGGGCAAACAGAGTTTTGTCAATTTGTTTGTGTTTCCCTTGTGATGGGACTTTGTAGGATGGACGTTGAGATGTATAGGGGACACGGGGTAACAACTAAGGTTTGAATTGGTCTGTAATAAGGTCGGGCACTGTTAATGGGTTGACAGGTATGTAGTGGTGAGTACACTAATGGTGATTGTCTTTTTGTTTGAAGCTGAGTCGACCTAGGGGATGCCCAGGACCGGTTCAAATAATCGCCACTTGTGTTGGCCGTGAGCAGGAATCGAACCCGGGTCGCCGGGTTCATAGCGCAGCGCACTAACCAATACACTACCGCTCCTCCCACACATAAACACACATTGGACTTTGTAGGATGAACTTTGAGATTTATAGGGGCACGGGGGTGACCAATACGGTCTGAAATGGTCTATAATAAGGCAGGGCCACTTTACAAGGGGTTGACAGGTATGTAGTGGTGAGTGTACTCGTGGTGAGTGTACTAGTGGTGAATGTCTATTTGTTTGTGTTTCTCCCTTGTGATAGGACTTTGTTGGATGAACTTTGAGATTTATAAGGGCACGGGGGTGACCAATACGGTCTGAATTGGTCTATAATAAGGCAGGGCCACTGACAAGGGGTTGACAGGTATGTAGTGGTGAGTGTACTAGTGGTGAATGTCTATTTGTGTTTCTCCCTTGTGATGGAACTTTGTAGGATGAACTTTGAGATTTATAAGGGCACGGGGGTGACCTAATACGGTCTGAATTGGTCTGTAATAAGGCAGGGCCACTGACAAGGGGTTGACTGGTGTGCAGTGGTGAGTGTACTAGTGGTGAATGTCTATTTGTGTTTCTCCCTTGTGATGGGACTTTGTAGGATGAACTTTGAGATTTATAAGGGCACGGGGGTGACCAATACGGTCTGAATTGGTCTATAATAAGGCAGGGCCACTGACAAGGGGTTGACAGGTATGTAGTGGTGAGTGTACTAGTGGTGAATGTCTATTTGTGTTTCTCCCTTGTGATGGGACTTTGTAGGATGAACTTTGAGATTTATAAGGGCACGGGGGTGACCTAATACGGTCTGAATTGGTCTGTAATCAGGCAGGGCCACTGACAAGGGGTTGACTGGTGTGCAGTGGTGAGTGTACTAGTGGTGAATGTCTATTTGTGTTTCTCCCTTGTGATGGGACTTTGTAGGATGAACTTTGAGATTTATAAGGGCACGGGGGTGACCTAATACGGTCTGAATTGGTCTGTAATAAGGCAGGGCCACTGACAAGGGGTTGACTGGTGTGTAGTGGTGAGTGTACTAGTGGTGAATGTCTATTTGTGTTTCTCCCTTGTGATGGGACTTTGTAGGATGAACTTTGAGATTTATAAGGGCACGGGGGTGACCTAATACGGTCTGAATTGGTCTGTAATCAGGCAGGGCCACTGACAAGGGGTTGACTGGTGTGCAGTGCCATCACTCACCAGCATTGACGGACGCCTGGCTCATCATGAGCGCAGTCATCACCAGAGCGAGCGTCTTCTCCGCGCGCTCCATCGCGACCCGCGAAGATCGACCCGCAGACGCACTCCGACTGGTGGTGAATTCAGTGTTTGCAGGGCGAGTCACGGTTTTGAAGATGTTGCGCCATTTGGGTCGTGGTGTAATGGCAGTGTAACGGGTGATGATGATGATGCTGCTGGTGGTGTTGTGGTGCTGTTGGGGTGCTGGTGGTGTTGTTGTGGTAGTGTTGTGCTGTTGGTGTTGTGGTGCTGGTGTTGTTGCGGTGGTGTTTCTCTGTACCCTGTACCACTATGCTGATGTACAATTGACCGAATGGCAGTCAGCGTTAACATTTCCTTACAATTAAACTCTACACATACATAAAACAAAGATCCCCCGGATAGCCTAAACAGGTTGTTGAGGCAAGTGCTGTTATGAAGGCCGGTACGGCACGAGGGGCTGGGTTACCAACAACACGCCCGTCCGCCTTTGTCTCCCCAGTGTTGATGCTTCCACACCGCACCAGGTACTAATTTGAGGCTGAGTCTACCTAAGGGAGGCCCAGGAACGGTTCAAATAATCGTCACTGGTGTTGGCCATGAGCAGGAATCGAACTCGGGTCGCCAGGTTCATACCAGCGCACTAACCACTACACTACCACTCCCCACATATGTACACACACACATACACCTCGCCAAATACTTACATGAATACGTGACAAAGCTCTATCCTATGGTCAGTGTTAAACTTGACCTAGATATCCCGATTATAACAGACTAAGTAAGCATGAACACAAATACAGAAGACAAAAAAGAACCCCACTTCTTTTTCAAATCGGGATCCTTGGTGCGAGCAGAACCAAATCGAAATGAAAATCTGTCACACGTCCTATATATATGGGAAACGGATGCAATGGTGTGTACATATATATTTATTTTCTACGGACAATTGGGAACACAATGGCACCTCCCCCCTAGTTGGCTCCCACCCCACTCACCCTGTTCAAACCAAGGCGCCTCCAACATCCCATCCTCCGTCTGTCAAAACATCCCCTTCACACGGGGGAGGGGAGTCCATGGCCAGCGACTCCATCACGAAACTTAAAACGTGCACATCTTGTGGAGAGTAAAACCCCTCTTGACGGCCACCCATGTCAACGACCAATCGCTTAACGACACGCCTCAATAGAGCTCAACGTCCAGTGTATAGTCGTGTAGAGTAACGTAGTGTATAATAGTGTATAGTATAGAGTAGAACCCGTCTTAACGACCACCCCTGTTGATGACTAATCGCTTAACGTCGGCCCTCCATAGAGCCCAATGTGTTCGCTTAACGACCATTTCCCCTGTTAACGACGGGCTTACTACGACGAGCACGCGACCGCCAATTTCGGCCAATCGGCGAGCTCCAAAGTTGTCTGACCAGGCCTTGGCCAACCAGCGACGTCCATTCATGAGCGTGTGTGGGCATGGTTTAAATTCTATGCTACTGGAACGAATTGCGCCATTCCAGTACATTTCCTATGCTCGCTAAACGAACAAATCACACAACGACCGGTTTGGTGGAACCAATAACCATCGTTAAGAAGGGTTCTCCTGTGTGTATATATATGCATGTTTGTATGTATGTGGAGTTGGCACAGTAGCCGGTGCATCTGCCAGTCATCTCAAGTCAGTCAACCCACGGCACCTGGGTCTGTTCCGTGACCCCCCGACCCCCCCTGCCAGTGAGCCTTCGACAACTTCACGTGGCCTCAAAGTGCTCCTGGCCTGGCACAGGCGCCGTGCTGACGCCACTGCCACCGAGTAGCGGGTGTTGTGCGTGCAGTGGTGGCAGTGATGCTTTCAATGTGCTACGCACCCGGTCGCCCCGGGTTGACAATCCTGGCCACGGTTAAAAATCTGTGGCAAAATCAGGCGCGGTTCGTCCACAAAGGGCGTCACTCCACCAAGCGGCAGGAGATGAGAAGTTATTTTTTTAATTATTGTTATTTACACGCTTTTATTTAACTCACCGTCTGTTATGAGACCTCCTTTGCCAGTAACAAGATATAGGAATAGGTTTTACCCTTTTAACTGGCACAAAAACTGACACCTTTATTCAAGGCATCATGTTTGCAATAACCACAACACAAGCAGTCAAAATGCAAACAAAAAAGACAACACTGATAATATTGGTACTGTCCTTGAATTTGATTGGTCCACACCCGAGACGGCTTTTCTTAGAGCCTAGTCTCCATTGGTGTTGGACCAGAAGACGCCAAAAGGCGTACAACTCAAAAACAGCGCACTATCAGAGTATTGAGGGCTTGGGGTGAGCATTTACATTATGAGACCTCCTTTGCCAGTAACACCAATGGAGACTAGGCTCTAAGAAAAGCCGTCTCGGGTGTGGACCAATCAAATTCAAGGACAGTGCATATTATTATCAGAGTTGTCTTTTTTGTTTGCATTTTGACTGCTTGTGTTGTGGTTATTGCAAACATGATGCCTTGAATAAAGGTGTCAGTTTTTGTGCCAGTTAAAAGGGTAAAACCTATTCCTATCACTGTCTGTTGTATCCTCAACTCTGTTGTTGTCGTATCTTCAAATCTTGTAACTCAATTTTAACCCACTTCCCAATTTCGTATCAACTGCAAACTTGGTATACGTATGTCACACTGATGACAATACTATATTCTATCATGAAAAACCATATATATTTTAAGCAATCTTTTTTATATCTTATGGGCTTGGGTCTAATTGTCCACACTCAACTCACGTTGGCTGTAAATCACCACGGCCCCCTTACGTTGTGACAAGCTTCGGGGCCACTTCCTGGAGTCGTGGAGTTTTTCCATTACTAGTAGGGTACATTTCATTAAAGCGTGTTTAAAAAAAAAAAGTATTTTTAAATATTACTTTTCTAATAAAAAAAATACTTTAACATATATTGTTTTGTTGCGTTTAAAACACGTCAAATGATTATTTCAACGTTAATTGCCTAATGAAGATAACATTTTAAGTTCGTATTAGAAACCGCTGCAATGCCACAAGTCTGATTTGTGCTGCCTCAGGACAGCTGTGAAGGCGTCCGAGTGAGAGATTTCCCTTCATTCGTTGCGATTTGCAGCTTCGTATTTAGCCACGGCGTTTGAGACCCATTCAGGGTAGTGGAAAACGCGAGGTTGCACTGTGCAAATATAACAGGTCCACAGCCTACACGCTCTAGGCATTTGGCAGTGTCAACGGGGTTGTGTAGTGTGGACTTGAGGGTCATGGCGACAGCATTTGAGTGATTTGTTGTTTTGTTTCGTATTCTTTATAAATGCCTACCGTTAGTAGATAAATTCTATCACTTTCACGGGAATGCCAATAATATGACGAGGTTTTTCTTAATTAGAACACCATAATTTCAGAGGTCACTCGCAACATCTCCACCTAGCGGAAATGTCATGAGCCACCACTGGGCAAAATATATCTGAGTAGCTTCTAGGCCTCAAAGCGGGCCATCGTGTTACTATGTGGTCCGTGGTTTGAGGCAGAGTCACATGGAGATACATAATAAAAACCCAGACTCACACAGACACCCAAAGTCTCACAAACTTAACTGGTGTGTAGCAGAAATTCTGACGGTGAAAGTCAAAGTGGGCGGTGGCGTTACTCTGCCATCCGCGGTTTGATATTGGTGACCAAAGTGACACCGTCGGTTATTCACAATCCCATTAAGGCAAAATATATACACAAAAGCACGTGCATTTGTGGCTCCAGGATCCAGTTTCAGGATGCGACAAACTCCATCTCGGGTTTTCCAGTCTCAAGTAACACATGCAGGTGGATTGGCTGATCATTGAAATTATAACGCAACGTGTGGGGGCGGTGATGATGTTGACTAATAAATGTTTGACAATGCTGCTGCAGATGATTACGAATTAAAGACGGTGATTATGATGCTGCTGCAACTGCTGCTGATGATTGATGACTATGATGATGCTCCTGATGATGAAGACTGGTGGATGACGATGCTGATGCTACAAAACTCTAAAGTGTTCTTTGGAAACACAATCATTAAATAATTCAGGATTTGCTTCAATAAGCAACAGCACACAGAAGATGCCCATGTGTAAACTATACTCAGATCACAGCTTCGTACCCAAACTGCTAACTAGTAGGCTTTCGCGACCAATATCATACATAATATAGGTTTTTTTGGGTTATATCGCATAAATATAAATACAAGTACAGCATACCGGGCAATGTTGTGGATTTGCTCTCCAACACACCGGTGTGCTGTACTAGTAACGAATTGTCCACGTTCTGTTTACGTGACAAACCTTGCTAATTGGCCGTGTCGGGTGGCGGCGGGTTTAACGACACATTTATATTTACGCGATTTAACCCAAAAAAAACAACAACTATATTATGGACCCAAACTGCTGCTCGCTTAACGAGTTAACACGGCTCGTAAGTAAAGTCCGGGGATCGCATGGCGAGACAGCGGACATCGGAGGAATGTTTTTGGTGTGGGCGGCAAAAACCATCCACGATTGCACAAAATTGATTGGTCAACGTCCCATTCAAGTATCCTTCAGACGAATGAACCTGCAAAAAACACACACACACACACAACACGCTCGTGAGTAGCCTTGTCAACTGCGCACAGTCACATTTGCAAATGCGATTCGTAACTTTGATCATTACCTGTGAACATTGACAGTTAAATGTTTAATGTGCGGTCAGTTTAACACGTATTATGATTAATGTGCGGTGTTATTGAGGGACTCTGCGTTATCCTGGTGTAGTCTGGGACTGTTTTGTTGCTTTTGCTGCCTTGCCCAATCTCGATAAATCGGACTTACATGATTTAACGTTCTATTAATTATTCATATTTAATCATTTACCATTTTCTCTATGTTGCACTCCCATCGTGTTGTTGTATTATGTCCGCTGTTGTAACTTACTGACCCCGTGCCCATACATACTGGACATCTGTGAAAAAGAGCTTCATAGCTCATCGGATTCCTCCTGCAGTCTAAATGAAGCAGCTAAGCAAAGTAAGTGGGGCGTGGGCATGACACGCCGTGGCAAGAAGGGTGATGGCCAGTGGTCAGGAATGATGACGGAGTGGCAGCCAAGAAGATGGAGCGATGAAATCAGTTCGTGCGCAGGTGCTGGATGGATCGCTACATTGCAGCAGTGGATTCATCATGGCTGATGATGATAATGACGACGGCAAGGCATCCCCCAATGGTTGTTTACCAGATCTGCCGCAGAACAGTGCAACGGCCACCGCCGGTGGGCCGTGTTCGAAAACGGCCCACGGAAGTGGCTCTCACAGAGCTGCGTCCGAGCTCCCTTCGAGTAACTTGGCCAATGCAGCAGGGTGGCAGCACTTCCCCACCCACTCCGCATATGAGAGTAATGTTCGTGACATGACCGTGATACATATATTTTCATTGTCAGAGCTGGAATTCATCCAAATTTAAGTGCAGAACCAAATTTTACGTGACGGCTTTTCTCTTTCTCTCTCTCTCGTGTGTGTGCAGTCATTGGTGACCATCAACTCATTACACTTGAGGAGCCAGTGCACTCTGTTGGGAGGTTGCCCTGACTCGAACACAGGGGCCCGTTCGGCGATTTTACACCTAAGCCACAATTAAACGTGCTGCTGCTGTTGCTGCTGTCATTGCTGCAGCTGCTGCTGCTGTTGTTGTTACCGGCTCCGTTCGGCTGTCTCCGCTGCGCCGGCCCCCCGGCCCTCCCGCACGCGGCCAGCGCCAGCGCGGTCGCGTGCGGCAGCGCGGCCGTCAGCGCCAGGTAGGCCCAGCGCGGCAGCGGCGGCGTCGAGCCCAGCGGCCAGAGCCAGAGGCCGCGGCGGGCGCCGTCGCGCACGTGGTGAGACAGCCACGCGAGCGCCGCCAGCGCCGGCAGCCGCTCCCAGGGCCCGCCCAGCAGGCCCAGCGGGCGAACCAGCACCACCTCCAGCGAGAGGGCCAGGGCGAGCACCAGCGTGGTGTTGTGCAGGGGAGGGCGGCCGCGCAGCCTGTGCAGGTCCTGCGTGGATGCCACGTTACACGTCGCCGGGTGGTTACTTTGTTGCCCTTCCCCACGCACCTCCGATTAGCACGGTTGGCTACGTACGGTGTGAATGAAGTTCAACGTAACTGGGAGTTCACGCGTCGCGTTTTCGCGACAAGGCGGTTCTTCCGTGAAGGAACACTAAACTATTTATTTTATCAGGTAAGGCCCACTAAAGCTATGGTAGCTCTTTATCAGAAGCAACCTGGCCATTAGAAATGATAGCCTAATGAAGTGGCTTATCACGTGGAAATTTATAGCAGAAAAATACTGTGAACGTCCCGACGCTGATTCTAAATGTGGAAAGAAAAACCGGAGGACCTGGAGCAAATCCTCACTTCCACGGGCAAAGCGAGAGATAGAGAGAGACGCTCAAACTCCAAATATACAGGTGTCAGGTTCGGGATCGAACCCACGACCTCCTGTATAGCAGGCGAGGTCGTCAACATCTCCTAGCCACCGCGGCACCCACTTTCCGCGCCACGTGCGTCGTTTCAACGCCACCGCTCTCAACCCATGCGGTTTACCCCCCCGTATTCTTGCATAGGGAAATTGTGTTTTCAGATTCATACGGCCGTACGGCCCGCTTCAATAGAGGCCCAAAAAAAAAACAACGATTTGTCTTTGTTTGTGTTTCTCACCTTGTGATGGGACTTTGCAGGATGAACACTGAGATTTATAAGGGGCACGGGGGTGACCAATAAGGTCTGCATTGGCCTGTAGTAATAAGGTAGGGCACTGATAAGTGGTTGACAGGTATGTAACACGGTTTCTGAACGGTCGACGATGGGCCATCCATTGAGTTCGTACGCATGGAGGGGGGTTAACACAAATGCGTTCGCTTGCGTATGGGGGGGGGGGGGTCTACTAACAATGTACGCATAGGAAACGGGGGGGGGTGAAGCCTCGATAATAATTTATCTACATTGGCCTTCAGATGAGTTAGATAGTCCGGCGGTGGACTCTTTCTTTGCTTAAACACGTTAATATTATTAATCCTTGATCGTTTCTGCGTGGATTAAATATCGGCCGTTCTATAGGATTCGGGGGGGGGGGGGTGTGTGTGTGTAACAAGTTCACGTGCCTACAGGGAGAGAGGAGGAGGAGGGGGGGGCTCAAGTTTTGACAGCTTTTTGCGTACCTGCTAAATAGATGGGCCCTGGCGAACTTTGGAGGTATACCGGGTGGACGACCGCCGCTGGTAAAAGCGGGTACTTGAGGCTGCTGTGCCACAAGGTGCAGAGTGTGTGTGTGCTGCTAAATGTGTCTCCTCCAGCCAGGGACTTCGATGTCACACCGCCCATTCGCACATTTTCTGTGTTGCAAAAAAAAATTGTTTTTACGACGATGCGTACGTCTCCCCCCCCCCCCCATAACCATATAACTCGCACCATCACTATTATTACCACCGCCGGGGCAACCCACCATGGAACTCCCATCATCCGAAAGATCTCCCCGTGTGTGGCCTCAACAAGCAAGACTCGATTGTGCCAAGTGTTGTTAGCGAGCGAGCAGCACCTATGAAGGCCGGCACGGCACACGAGTTGGTGGGGGGTGGGAGGTTCGGGTGGCCAGCACCACGCCCGGCCGCCTTTGTCTCCCCCGCAGGGCCGACGTTTCGCCCCACCCCCACCCACACCGCACCACAGGTACTACGGTGCTCACTTGAAGATGTCAGAATCGACCACCCCGAATACCACCACCGCCTAACAACAACAACAACGAGACAACCACCACCTCACCGAAATCCGCAGCGACCTGGCCATGACGAAGTGATCCAGGTCAAGGCAGCAGGCCAGGAAGCCCGCGAGCAGCACCTGAGCAGCGGCTGTACCTCCACCACCACCATCACCACCTCCACCTCCTCCATCACCTCCTCCACCACCTCCTCCTCCTCCCCGTAGCGACACCGCGAAGCCTCCTCCGCCGCACACGAGAGCCCAGCTCCACATGGCCACGGCTCCATGCACCGCCGAGTCCAACGCAGCTTTCATCAGCATCGCAACCTCGCCACCGCCACCGCCCGCCTGTTGTAGCCTCTCGCACAGCGGGTCGGCGAGGGCGCAGAAGAGAGCGAGCAGCAGGCTCGAGAGGAGAGACAAAGGCGGCAGTGGCCACGACTGCCACAGCGACCACCACCACCACCACCGCCGCTGAGCCGCCGCCGCCTCCATCAACGGCGGCCCGGCGCGGCTTCCAGGCAAGACCGTAGGCTCCGATGTGGCCGCCGTGTTAAGTTGTCGCGAGCAACTTCGACTCGTGTTGTCAAAGCAGCTGGCCGCTTCTCACCGTCGTCGTAGGAGGCCTGGCATTGTTAGCCGAGCGAACGACGGCCGAGGCCGCAGCGGAATCGTGAGTTTAAAGGCCTGGGATCACGCGGCAGCGGTCAACAGGAACCATCCCCCGACGTCCCCTGTAGCAGATTGTCGACGGCCTCCTCAACCATTTGTTTTCTCGGCCAAGTTTGGTTCCCCTAGCGACGAGACGACGTCAACGCGACTCGCGATGATATTGCTTTGCGTGCTCTGAAGAAGGGGGATTGCACGAAACGTCGCCTCGCCATGATCGGGGCGCCGCGGTGGCTAGATGTTGACTACCTCGCCTGGTGTGCAGGATGTCGTGGGTTTCGATCCCGACCCAGACACCTGCTGTGTATTTGGAGTTTGCGCGTCTCTCTATCATCACCACGGTGACTAGGAGATGTTAACTACCTCGCCTGGTGTGCAGGATGTCGTGAATTCGATCCCGACCCTGAGGACGCCTGCTGCTGTATATTTGGAGTGTGCGTGTCTCTCATCATCATCATCACGGTGGCTAGGAGATGTTAACTAGGCAGCCAATGAGAAGCTTTGTGGGGCAACGTGAATCCAGTACCCCATGGACCACTGGGGGACAAAGCGTAAGTTATATTGTCCCCAGGAGCCCCTGGGCACTTTCCCCAAACTGCACCGGCATGGCAGGGATCTGTTGAGGTGACTGAGGTCAGGAGGCCGCAGTGCGTGCTTATCCAAGTCGCTCGCAGGCGCTGGTTTGTGCACCCGTCATTTGAAACCCTATGTTCCACCTTGTCGTGGACAGGTCATCTCCCCTGCCTGCCTGCCTGCGTTGCGGGTGTCTGATGTGTCCGGCGAGCCAGGGCGAGCAGGCACGGAGGTTTCGCCTCAGTAGGATCCCAGAGCCTGACACCCGCAGACCCACCACCGACGGCGCCTTCTACAGACGGACCGGGGTCGAGGGAACGGCTGTCACCTTCTTCTCGGTAGGGGCTGTGCCCGTTAAGCCATTTACGCATCGTCCCGGGGGTCCGCAGGAAGTCAAACCTCGTCCCACTTGGGTGCCCGGCGACCAGGACCCGCTCCAAAACTGTTCGGTTTCAATAGCTCGCCCCTCTTTAATCCCGGGTTCATGCCGACAGTGGTCGAGAGGCCCCGCGAGGGGACCTCGAGTCCGTCGTTGAGAGTGGGATCCAGACGTGCTGCTGGGGTTTTCACCATCTCGGCGTCGGAAGTCAGGCAGTCTACCAGCTGTCCCCACTGAGAACCGTAGTTACTAAGTGTGCACTGTCAGGCCGTGTTAATAAACAAGAGTGCCTCCTACTCTTAAGTGTCTCCGAGTAAGTCACTACACATATATACAGGACATTGAAAATGTTTACTGTGTGCGCATGCATGTACAGCAACATGCCAGTCCACTGCTGGATGGGGGCTTTCCCCACACCGTGCGGATCGTGGGGGTTATGAACCCCATATTTTGCCAATCCGATCCATGTAGGATAAACGTGGGGACATGTGAACTACCTCGCCTGGTATACAGGAGGTCCGTGGGTTCAATCCCGACCCTGGCGCCTGCTGCTGTATATTTAGAGTTTCCATGTTCTCCCCCGTGTTCTCGCGGGAGTCGTGGATTTTTCTCCGGGTCCTCCGGTTTTTCCCTCTACCGTAAATTCCCACGAAATAAGCCACTTTGTTGAGCTAACATTTGTGGCCAGATCGCTTCTTAAAAAAACGAGCTAAATAGCGTAGTGGGCCTTACCGGGTAAAATTTAAAAAAGTTTACATTACTGTATTTTTCTGCACTGCCCTCTGCTGGCTACAACATAGCTCGTATGAAAAAATAATCATAGGTTTTGCCCTTTTGGCAATAAAACAGGTGTTGAGATGTTTAAACACCAAATAGAAACCTTTTACAAGGAATCATGTCTGTATTCACCACACGTACTTGTGGTGAACATGCAAACAAACATGCTTTGATAATATATGCATTGTCCTCGAAACTGATTGGCCTTGTAACACCAGTGTCAGAGCAGAGAACGCCAAAGACAATGCAATCAGGGTATTTCTAACTCGGGGTGAGTCGCTACTGGCAAAAAGGTCCCATAACATCGTTCGTATTGTGCACAATTCTTAAAACCCATCCACCGAGGAAGTCCATGATTGGGTTTTTTTCAATTGTTATTTTTTATTAATAAAGTATATGTACACAAGCCATGAAAGCACATCTTTAAATCCCGTCTAACATCTCAAATATCAAAACGCACGCTAAAATTAGTCATTGAACAGAGGCATACTTTCTCGCTTTTATATTTGGTTGCGTCTTATGGCGATTTTTTTTAATTCTTCACGCACGTGTATGCCAATTCTACATGCTAATCCATGGTGGTGATGTCTCATCTGAAGCTCTTAACCGGCATTTATTACCGTGATACAATGTAACTACCAACGGTATGCTGACAAAAATAAAAATGATACCGACATTACTGCACAAACGTGCACGTACACACACTTCTCATTACAAAACTAATTATTTTTGTCCAATCAAGGGCAGCTCACTTGACTTGAATACCTCCCCCCTGCACTCCTAGTAAGCCAAAACGGATGGCATAGTGTAATCTAATGACAACCCAGTTTTCATGAATATTAACTTCTCTCTAATAATAGTCCATGGGCCCCAAAGAGAAATTGGTATCACCAAAGGTAGCAAACCCTTAAAGGTACCAATGTACATGGCTCAAACTGTTTTTTGAGAGCCCACTCATTTCAAATGGTTACCACAATTCACTGTTATTGGCCACATCAACATATGGGATCAAAGAAAGTGATGCCACCACTTCAGGTGGTACCGACAAGTGAGTTATCTACTCCGGGCTCGTGGGCAAATACGCGGAAAAGAAAAAAAATAGTAGGAACACATTGGGTTGTATAGATATGAGGTGGCCTGAAAAACAATAATGATAAAAGCACGCCAAGTGGAGAACCCGCCAAGTACCCGAGCGAGTATATGTTATGCACGAGTGTGCAAAAGTGTGCACACAGCTAGGAACACAGCATCAGTGAGAGGGGGTGGGCAGCTTTCACGGCATAGAAAGAAAATTCAGGATTAAGACGGTAAAACTCGCGCGCGACACAAGCCGACCGCAGCGATGGTGGTGTACACATTATTGGTTCGTACACCGACTGGAGCGAGCAGTTGCCGCCTACCCAACTGGACACAAATCTCGTGCGGAGCTTCACTTTTGCCACGCACCACTGCGGGCATCAACTCTCAAAGGTGTCCACCGCAGCCGTGCACGGTGGCGAAAGGTTGACGAAAAGGCTCCAAAGCTCAGCCTGACCGGGAAATCCACGCTTGGGGTTACGCGCGTGTCTGCAAACATCGGCGATCTTCATCGGTGCCGTTTTGTTGCAAAGTTTACGTTGAAAAAGACGCGATGCAATACGAGACGGACCGCGCGCACACGTCGGATTGCAAATGCATCATGCCAAACGGTCGATTCCGCCTGCCTTTCAACTTGGGAGATTTGTTCAGTATTATCGATTCATGTGGGGTGGGGGCCTGGTGGCTCATTGATCAGTGCCAAGCTGGCACCGCTGAGGTGCTGGGTTAAAAATCCTGCTTTCCGTCACCTGCGATTAAACCGGGTTCTCAAATGTCGAGATGGTCTCAGAACGGCCAACGATGATGGCGGGGAAAAAAATCCGATATCAGTTTTGTACTCAATTTTATGACTAAATGTCAGTTTCACCGTCATGCGACGAACATTACTCTCATTGGCAGAGCGGGTGGAAAAGTGCCGCTCCTCTACGGTGTGGACTAGAGGTCACTTGAAGGCATCTCGGATGCAAGCTGTGATATCCGCGTCTGTGGGCCATTCTTTAATATGAAGGGTTGCCCTGCTCTGAGAGTTCTGAATGTACACTGCATCTCATGACATGCACAGCACAACCAATATAAACGTAGATTTTTTTTTTTTACAAAACATCAACGTTTACATGATTCTGCACCCTATCCATTAACGTGGAGATGGTTTAAGCCTTAACTGGGGAGGAAAGGTTCACAATTGTTGTGCTTTTAAGGATGTTGATAACGGCGAATGATCGTTAGGCGCGTTTCATTCCGCATGTCGCCAGCTGAGGTTACGGGAAGGGCAGTCAAGACTGTTTCCCGAAGACCGAGCACGCAGACTGGGGCGAGATCCACAGCGGGACCAAAACAACCCACGTTTTAATCCTTCTCTGAAAAAACACTAAACGTACCCCACATGCCTCCGTGATTCACTCCTGAGAATCGCGCACTAAACTTTTGCTGGCCCTTACTCCCACAACAAATCGTCATAAAACAATGGACAAGGATTGAAAAGGGAGGAAAGACCAAAACATTTTTTTTCTTTCCTTAAATTTACAAACAAGCCAAGCCGGCTGGGGCCCCTCGCTGTCATAACTTCTTCTGCGTTAAAGAATCGTAGAAGCACACACCGAGGGAACGGCGCTGGGAAGATGGGAGGGCAACGGGAGGGGGAGGGGAGCGTCGATTCCACAGCTAGCCTACGACGTATCCCGTGCTGGGCCAGGCCCCCCTCAGTCCTCCGTCATTTCCAGCACGGACTCACTCAAGCACAGATCCCAGTACTGCTCCACACCGTGCTTGCGAAAATGCTCTCTCGCTAAACTCTCGGTGGGACACTGCTTGAATTTCATTTCTCCAAAGCTCCTCTCCTTGGCCGTGCCCTGCGGAAATAAGTTGCAACACAATATGCACTCAGATTAGAATATTTTTTTTTTTCAATTTCGTGATACTGCATTGACAGTGGATGTCGTTCTTCCCTCACACCTCCGATTAGCACAGTTGTGGCTACGTACGGTGCGAAAGAAGTTCAACATACATGCAAGCACAAATAACAAAAAAATTCCAGCACATTTGTCAATAACACTGCGGACAAAAAGATACCATATATAATATGATCTCTCCGCTCCGAATAATGCCCACACGATCTTGAAATGTGAGCTTTTATAGTTAGCTTCCCATCAGGGCAGCGTTAACAATGAATGCCCTGAATTCCAATGCAAACTGCGCACACACGCAATGCAAGACAAACACCGATGAGTTGTGTAATTTAGCAACTGCAGCTCCCAACAAATGTCTTCACACCACGTGAAACGTGAGCGATCACTGTCATCAACGGCATGCCATTTTTGGACGCGCAACTTAAGGAACGGTGGGGGTACGACGAACTTGGGAACAAATATAACTGGGGGGGGGGGGGGGGGCACACAGGATGACAGCATCAGCAACACAGCCGCAGAAAAGAA